GCTACAATACAGTAGGTGTTGGCGGTTCAAGGTATGGGATGTGAGGTCATCATCACAGAAGCCACGGAACCAGGCACATCGCTGTTCCGGTATGCCACAGCCGTCAATGTAACCTTAGGGTTTAGGATTTAAGGTGTAAGACTTAAAGTTTAAAGTTTAGGGTGTGATAGGTATTGGAAAATGGAGGGGCTTACTGTGCGACTTGGGCCGGGTTTTAATGATTCAGGGGCTTGTGGGGCTTTTTGTCAGGTTTTGGATTGTGCGAATGTATGTAGTTTTTCGTCACGGCAACAAACGATCCTTTGCTTGCACCACTGTTGTGGTAACTTAGATTTAATTCCTTAACAAGAAAACAGCCTGTACAGCCAATGTCCGTAACAACAATAAACCCAAATTAAGCTAAACCCCAAACTCTGAACCAAACGCCCAACAAACATGAGCAAACACAAGCCCCTTCTTTGCAATTCCCAGGCAACGGATTTGACAAAGGTCAAAGTAAGAAACTCTACCGCAATCGCGCAGACCCCAGACTAAATAAACCCCGCTCCCTTAGTAAGGAATGAGATAGGGATCCTAGTAGTATCTAGGTTCCTGAATAACCCCTTTACAATGAGGGTACCCTTTTCCTCATATTGAGTTTTAATCAAGGAGCCCTGAACCAAAGAGGGCAAACGGGTACTACTCAGGAACCTAGGTGGGTCCCCCAAGTCATTAGGGTTCGTTGCATCAGCGTCTACACGAACGCGAGCCTTGAATCCAAAATGCAAAAGCCCTAAACTCCTCCACAGCGACAACCGAAACGCCTGTGAAACCCTAAAGCATCATTGGTACAAAACGGCATGAAGGCCCTTGCACAAGTCGATGTTTAACAAAACCTCGTCTTTACAATAGACCAAGGAAATCATAATAACAAAAGGAAGACTGATGCCGGGAATATCATCGCGACCTCCATAACACAGAATTCTATATCAGCACTGTTAAACTCATAACAACAAGTTGATTATGCTATAATATACCCAAAACGTGTTCACATTCTCCAGGCCTATTTTAAACTTGCTCACAAGAACAAGTAAGACGACCAATGCCTTCCAGAGAAGAGGATCATGGGACTTAGCAAGTAGGTTCCTTGAAAGGGCTCCTTTACGGGATCTATATAGGGGCTCTAAGGGGTAGTTTAGGCATACTTAAAAGATCATGGGACTTAGTAACCCCAATTATGACCTACTTACTAAGTCCCATGATCCTTTAAGTAGGATGCCCAGTAGCCTCCGAATAAAAAAGGCTCCTTTTTTTGTATTGGGTAACTTTATAAGGAACCTGGGACTACAAAAAGGGAATAAGGGTACTACTGGGCATCCTAGAGACGATAGTGTATACCATTATGGATTTAGGTCCCAAAAGACCATCCATATCGTGGATTTGGGGACATAACTCCATAACGGTACTATATTTGGAGCCTCTAGGTCCTTATAGATCCCTTTAAAGATCCCTTAAAGGAGCCCTTTAAAGGAACCTAGTTACTAAAATTATGGCCTAACTACAACCTACGAAGACGACCAATGCATGCCAGAGCACAGTCCCAGACAGGCGCCAGCACAAAAAGCCGTTGCACCTCACATACCCTAAACCCTAAACCCTAATGTGTGGTTGTTTTTAGGGTTTAGGATTCAGGGTTTAGTCGGGCTTAGGGTTCAGGGTTTAAGATTCAGGATTAGGGTTTAGGGCTCAGGGTTTAGAGTTCAGGGCAGGGGGTGTAGGGTTCAGGGCTTATGTAGGGGATAGGGCGGGATAGGGTACAGGGTTTATAGCTATAGGGTTTATGGATCAGGGTTTGGGGGTTTGAGTTTAGAGCTTTCATTCTTTGACACTTCTTTTCCTTCTGCATGGTAACCGTAGTCGGAATGCGGATTCGGCTGAGGTAGTGCGAGGGGCCAATTTTGTGAGGGATAGCGTTTAGGGTTTGGTGCAGGGTTGCCTTTACTGCGCCGATGTTAGGAGTTTGCTTTGCGGTTTGAGCTGTCTCAGCTACCTTAAGCCGGAATAACCTACCTTTTCAGGGTTCCTTATTATGATTTCCTTATATAAGTCCTTAAAAAGGTAGGTTCTTCCGGCTTAAGGCTTAGGGCCTAGGGCTTTCTAGTCTTGGTCTCAACCCTCTTACAGGGAACTCCAGAAAGTTGGAATATGGATTAATGGTAGGATCCCCTATAATTTACCTTATAGGGGTTACGATAATCATATTCCAACTTTCTGGCTTCTACTGTAAATCCTAAACACGCTAAACCCGAAGACCCTAAACCCCAAACCCTACACTACACTTCTACGGAAGCAGCGCAAGGAGCAATGACTGGCAGCTTTGCTGCGCCTGGGCATTCAAACTTGCATCCCAAAAGAGCCCAAAACCCTTCCTTTCCTTCCTCTTTGTACTTTCTCGTCCTTTTGTTCGTTGCTAGTCGTAGCGGGTCCTCCTCCTCCGCCTCATCCGGGGTCCCGTCCTCAAAGTCAAAATCCTCAACACTGAGCGGGTCCTTCATGCCTTTCTTCCACCCGATCATCTCGTCCTTCCACGGGTGGTAGTTCTTCCCCGGTGGAGAAATCCAGCTCCTCGTCCGCCCACGGCGGGTCAAAAACCTCAGTCGCCGCCTCCATGGGCCTCTTAGCCCCCGCCGCCACGACGCCACCTCCATCACGAGGCGCCACGACCTGCTGGCTGTTGCTTCTGTGAAGCCCCGCCTTTGTTGGGCTTTCTCGGTCCAAAGCTCGTCGCTTTCCTTGGCGAACCTGCTGTTGTATGCAAGTGATCACCATACAGACGTGTATATTTTGTATATCTCTACATATCCTCAAAGTAAACCAATAACATTGAAAAGTCCAGGAACCGAAACTGAAAGTACTTCTGATCCTTGGGGTTCCTTCGCCAAGCGGTTGTTGGTCTCGATACACAACTAGAATCGCGTTTTGGGGCAAATTGCACTGTACTTATGATTAGGCACCCCATCATATGTTGGTAACTGTTTCGGCCCCTATACACTGCCCCTATACGTAGCTCATCTTCCAAACTGAGGTGAACCTACTTGAAGGATCATGGGACTTAGTAAGTAGGTTATAATTGGGGTTATAAGTCCCCTAAGTGGGGTTACCCTAATTATAACCTACATATAACCTTACTTACTAAGTCCCATGAGCCTTTAAGTACACTTGCAACCCTTACACCCAAAACCTGAACCCTAAATCCTTCCACCCTGGGATCCAATACAATAGAAGCCAGAAAGTTGGAATATGATTATCGTAACCCCTATAAGGTAAATTATAGGGGATCCTACCATTAATCCATATTCCGACTTTATGGAGTTCCCTTTATACCAACGCCAAACTTTGACCCTAAAATATCCTTTCACATCGCAGAAAATCCAATGCCCCTCCATTATGAAAACTCCGTAGCGAATATGTAGATCAATAGACAGATATGGTTTCTGACCAAGGTCAGGCAGTCAGCACATAGCCTAGGATTAAGGGATAGTGCAAGCACGAGGGACACCTTAAGCTAAGCCCCTTCGAACACCCGGAGCAACCTGCTGATACCCCAAAGAATACATGGAACCCCCTCAATCCATGCACAACAACACCACAACATCCTGAGAACACTTTGTAAAAACGCGCTATGCCGAAAAAATCCTTCCTCTCCCTATAAACCCCAAACTCTAAACTTTGCACTGAACCATAAGCCCTAAAACCTAAACAGCAGACCCTAAACCCTAAACCCTAACCCTAAACCCTAAACCCCAAACCCTAAACCCCAAACCCTAAACCCCAAACTCTAAACCCCAAACCCTTAAACCCTAAACCCTTAACCCTAAGCCCTAAACCCTTAACCCCTCAAACCCTCGCCCTTGCAAAGCCAAGGGCAGGGTTAGGGCGCAAAAAACACAGAAGCAACAATAAGGATAGGGATATCCCATATAAAGCCCCTATAATGAAGCCTAATAAGGTAGGGATATCCCCATAAAATGCTTATGCTGATGTGCTTTTGGGGTCCCTTAAAGGGTGGCCTCCCGAAGACCCGCAGGCGGGGAAGCGACGAGCTCTTGGGAGAACGAGCCCTCGAGGTTGGCGTAAGCGCCTGCTTTGGTTGTTTAGGGTTTAGGGTTTAGGGTTTACAATTTGAAGATTGGGGTTGACGGTTTGGGGTTTAGGGTTTACACATTGAGAATTAGGGTTGAGGGTTTGGAGTTTAGGGTTTGGAGTTTAGGGTTTAGGGTTTCGGGTTTAGGGTCTTTTGTTTAGGGTTTAAGGTTTGGGGTTTAGGGTTTAGGGTTCAGGGTTTAGGGTTTCGGGTTAGGGGTTTAGGGTTTGGGGTTTAGGGTTTAGGGTTTAGGGTAATGTAGGGGCCTCCATAAGTAGAATAGGGGGCTCCCGTTTAAGGGGTCTATAAGGGCTACTATAAGAGATCTATGGTAGGGTACTATATTTTGGGGGCCCTTAATTATTAGAATAGGGCTTTGGGGGATTTTTTGCTATAACTACACTAAGGCACCCCCAAAATAGTATAGGTACTTATTGAGCCTGCTTTGGTTGTTTAGGGTTTAGGGTTTACAATTTGGGGATCAGGGTTTAGGGTTTCGGGTTTGGGGTTTAGGGTTTGCAGTTTGGGGCAGAGACTCCCCAGTTTAGGGTTTAGGCTCTCGGGCCTGGTTTCTTTGTAGCCTTGCTTGCGGCAGTGTTCGTTGCATAGTTGGACTTCACTTAAAGGATCATGGGACTTAGTAAGTAGCTTATAATTGGGGTTATAAGTCCCCTAAGTGGCGTATCCTAATTATAACCCACTTATAACCTTGCTTACTAAGTCCCATGAGCCTTTAAGCAGGCTTGACGATGTACAGCTTTCTCGGTCGAGGCTGGCATAAAGGCCTGACAGGCTGTCATTTTTCACAGAAAGACCTAAGGTCTGTGGTGTGACATATTTGCCATAACGGCTTACCTCGATTTCCTGGAGTCTTTTGATGGCGAGCTGTCTACAAATTCCGGTTTTTGAGGTGATAGTCTTTCAGGTGCGCATCTGTTGTCCTATGTGTTTTGTAGAACGCTCTGCTGATCGCGGAGCATGCCTATGAATAGGGTATGTGCCCAAGTTGTTGGGGCGAGCTAGGTTCAAGGTTCGCATACAAGTCCTCTTGGGCTTTGTATGTAAGTATGTACGTATGTATGTCTGGCATATGTATATATATATATATATGTCAAGATAGAGTCTACGACTCTCTCCGTTGCAAGGTGTACATTGGCACTGAGGTCACCCCCCTCCATGAAGAGGAGGAGGTGAACCTAGCCAGCGGTTGCCTAGTGACGTTTATGCGTTCTGATAGATTGCCGTGCCACGCCAATGATTTGCAGTATCGTCTGCAATTTCCAGACACCTGGCACCATGAGCCTCGTTTTCCCATCGGGCCCGCAATCCGCAGCTCCTTGCTGCTTCTGCATTCCAGCGGCAGATACTTGTACCGACCTCAAGCCACTCACGACCCGGGTGACGTTTCTGCTGCACGCTTCGTTGGTGTTGACAGGGCTGCTGTGGACTTCCATACACCCGGAGATGGAGGTCTTGAGCGTGTCATGTACCGCGGCATCCGCGTTCGGGGAGTGCTCGCTCTTGCTGACCATCTCTTTTCACCGCAATTCGTGGTTTTCCTCGACCTGCGCCAAGTTGCCGAAGGAGTGCAATTCGTGGTGTTGGACGTGCCTTTCATCCTGCTCGTGCACCTCGCCCGGCTCGTTCGCTTTAGGCCCCCTCCTGGTTGGGTTCTTAAAGTTCGGGGTGGTCGACGCCGAAGCGACCGCATTCAGGTTGAAAACGCAACCACGCTCACTTTCAGCTTCCAGTATGCCTGCAACTCTGAGTCTTCCGAGACTCCCTTCGACCCCACCACCGACAGCAACCAGGACGCCGATGACGACAGTGGTGATGACTCTAGTGACTCGGGCAGTGACCCTGCCGACCGCCACTCCACTGCCACCACGCGCTCTCGCAGCAGGCGCCGACGCTCACCTGGAAGTGCGTCCGGACCATCCTCAGACCACTCTTACCAAGGCGGTGTTGTCGGCTTTGGCCGCCCCCCAATCCTAGAACCTCTTGCTGATCTCCTTTCCGTTAGGGACTCTAGGATAAGCCCCATAGGTGCGCCTCTTCTAGTCCAGGCTTGGCTCACGTGTGCCCATGCCGCTCGGCTGCGCGGAACTTGGCAGCCCCACACCATTGATGCTTTGTCTTTCCCAGGCGCTAGAGATGATGGCTGAGCTTTGACAACCAACCCTGCTGCAAGCCTTGATTTGCTGCAAGCAGCTTTTCAAGCTGCCCTCCATGCCAAGCTCCTCTCCGAGCCGGCTTCCGACAACAGGGCCTCCAGGGAGCGTCTCCATGCCCTCCGCAGTGCTACTGAGCAACTCGGTGGCGAGTGGAGATATTTCACCCCCACCACCAGACTCCACGCGGGTCTGTCCGAGTACCAGGATCCCTCATCGGATGAGGACCAAGAGGCACAACTTCGCCGCGCCTCTTTTGTCATCTGTGTACCTGGGTACGCGCCTGAGTTCCTTGTGCTCGAGGTGACTTTCCCCACAACCCATGCTGAGCTCACACCAATTCTCCGAAGAGGGAGGCAAGCTGACCGGGACCAGCGTTTCCCGCACCTCGTCCCGGCTTCTCCGCAGCCCATCGATGGCACGGGCCTGTTTCTAGCTGCACCACACTGGCACCATGATGTGCGAGTCGTGTGCATTGATGCTACCCGGCTTGATGGTAGGCTGTATGCGACAGTTGCCCCTGCATATGCGGACCGAGATACACTTATTGACCTAGCAGGTGCACATGGTTTCGACGTTGCTGTCTATGCAGGACTTGGTCAAGAACCTGTCCCCGAGGGGACTCTTATCCATCTCACTGCAGGAACCACCATCACTGTGCTTGCCGTCAATGCGGCGCCGCCCATGCTGTGGGATCTCGGCCAGTGGCTTCTTGATGCGAGCCAGTGGAGCTCCCGCCCCCTCCTGGCCTACCCAGAGCCATCGGACGCATATTGCCTGGTCAGGGAAGCCCACCATCAGTTGTTTCGTGCCGACCCCAGCCGCCCAACACTTTACCGGCGTCGTCTGGCTGCTGCTGTTGATGCGCCCGAAGACCGCATTCTTGTTACGCCGGCTGCCCCTCGTGTTACCGACATTGACATCGCAGGCACCCCTTGCAGGACGGCTGTCGCCGTCTCCGTGCGCTCCCAGGACCACGTTGCCGGGCACCGCTCTGATGTCCTTGTTGATGGCAGACCTGTCCTTGAAGGTTGGTTTCTGTGGCCTGTTCACTCCGGGCGTCTTTTTACGCCCGACCTGCTGGCCCATTTCCGCCATCAAGTCCCTCTTGGCTACACTGTGCACATTCAACATGAGCCTCAGCTCGGTGTCACCATGCCAGTACACGAGGGCATGGTCATCGTTGTCGATTTTGCCCCTGCCGTCCAGGCTGCGCCAATCACAGCCACCAACGATGCTGCTGCAGGCCAGGCTGTCGCTAGCCAGCGACGTGTGCATTTTGCCCCCGACTCCCTGCCTTCTGCTCCCGATGCCCCTCCGGCAGGCGGTCTACCCAGCACAAGTAGCCGCAATGACTTGGTGCCAGATGTCTCCCCCAGCGCCTTTCGAGCAGCTTTTCTTGTTTTTGCGCCGAGCTACCTCCCCGAATACATTGAGCTCAATTTGCATGCTCCCGCGACACTACAAGATGCTCTCGACGAGGCTCAGGCGAAGAGGCTGCCTGCTTACAGGGACCGTTTCCCCCAGCTTCTGGCCGTGAACCCACAACCTGATATGGCTTACGGCACCCTGCTTGCTGCTCCGGCCTGGCCACTATCTGAAGCCTTGGTCTATTTCGATCTTCGTGGGGTCGATGATAGATACTTTGCTTTAAATGTGCCGGTTAGGATGACGTTTGGATCTCTCCTCACCGTAGCGGATTTGCCTGCTACTTCGGATGTACTCATTTACATCCGCGACATTCCTTGGCCACTGGGTCAGGATTTTACCATCGAGCTTACCTCCGGAGATTTGATCCTTTTTGCACGCCCTGACCATGCAATTGCGGTTCATGCCAGTCTCCCCGACATGCTGCAACAACCTGTCGGTTGGACACCCGAGCCTGACATCCCAGGTGAGTTCGGAGACCGCATCTGGCTTGTGACTGACCATGAGCCTGTTCTTTACGAAGTCAACCGTAACAGATTGCAGGCCTTCAGGCAGGACATCGCTGCAGCCCTCGACATCTCCAGCAACACCTTGCGCCTACAGCCGGTCTGGCCCAGCATCCTCACCTTTGCTGCACACGGCTTGCTTGTACGCTCGGTTTTGATAGCCGTCGATCCACCACCCATTCCCAATGACGGAACGGAAAGCTGGATTGTGTGCCTACTCGATCTGCGACCAATCCTGCTGGGACTCGTTGCTGCCTACGCCCCAGATGGCAAGTACGATATCTCAGGCCTGTGTCGTAGGCTCCAAGGCTTTTGCCCGAGAGGTTTTGAGGTCTCTGTCTCAGGCGGCCATTCAAGAGCCAATGGCAGCCCCGACACCCGCACTGTTTTTGCAGGAGAGGTTCTCCAGGTCAGTTTCGTTGCTGCTGGATCAGTAGATCCGGCCGATGCCAGAGGTGATGCTCCTCCTTCCCCTAACGGCCCCAACACCCACGATGCAGGCCCAGCTTCTTCCTCACATCCAGACACTCGCCTTGGTGGGTCAGGTGCCGCACCCAGAGATGCTGAGGAGCCTCGGGCAACGTCTTCTCCCCCTCGTCCAGCAGGAGGGCAGGCACGCAGGCTAGTGGCATCGCATTGCGTCGCCGAGCCAGATGTACCATGCAACACCTGCAGTGTTACTACCTCTGTTGGGATCGTGCAGCTCAAGTGGCGACCCGGGACTTTCCACAACGATACCCTCCCTCCGGGTACCCGGGACCTCACCCCTGTGCTCCCCTTTCCCTCTGTCCCTCAAGGGTCCTCGAAGGACCCGTTCGACTACAAACGGCCCCCCCATGCCTCCACCTCTGTGCCCAAGTGCTTTCGGCTGTTGCTCCTTGCTGCCAGCCTATGTGTGCAGCCCGGTGCTACGGTTCAGCTCCCCGCACAATCCCACGCTCTGCCAGTACCGCAGGGCACTCCAGTATGGACCCCTGCTGCGCCACAGGAAACCGGCAAGCCCCCTTTGGCCTTTCAGGGACATGCCGAGGAGGATGGGCGCACCAGGCCTCCTTTCCGACCGATCCCCACTCCCTGCCGGGTCGATAAGGACAGTCTCCCCCCACTTCTGCCCGGTGCCCCATGCTGTAGAGCGACAGGGCCTTCAGCTCCACTTGCCCTCTGTGACCACTCCGCAGTGCAGCCGGCAACCCATGATGGCTCACAACAAGACGACGACCCAGGAGATCTTGTTACTCTCTTGTGGGAGTCAGTGCAGGACCCAGAGTGTCAAGCTTTCATGCTTGCGAGCACTCTCCTCGATACCTGCCTTGACCACTTCGGTGAATTGGGCTTTCCGCCACCCAAGCTGTGCCTAGTGCTTGACGCTCAGATCCCTGCGCCAACACCCGGTCTAGCTCAGCCTAGTTGCTCCTTCTGGTCACAACTCGACGTGCCACTTGCTTGTTTCCCCTGGGTGCCTGCCGCCCTACCGGGCCTGTCGAGTTTGTCTCTCCACGAGCACCTCACAATCGGCCCTTACCATGCACCTTGCACCGTCCAGCACATCCGGGACTTTCTTCTGCCAAACTGCACTCTAGGCACAGGTTGGGACATTGTGTTAGCCATTCAACAGAAGGACCTTCAGAAGCAGCGTGCACTCGATCTCTGTCCTCGTGACTTTGAATCGAGCGATCTCCACTGCTTTACTGACGGCTCGTACTCTGCTGCCACCCCACCCTGGGCCTTGATCGACGATCGGCCTTCTGCATATGTCGCTGAGTGCTATGCTCTAGTCGCTGCTGCCTGGCTCAGCCTTACCTGCTTTTCTCAGGTTCCCACTGTCCTGAGGTCTGACTGCACCTCCGCCATCGGGGTCTTTCAGGGGCGTTTTGTTGGAGCACCAACCGGCGTTGCTGCAGTTCTACGCAGCCTCGGCCTCTTCGGAGCAGAATTCTCGCCACACCCACCACGAGCTGTGCACGTTGCCGGACACCAGGGCTGCCTCGGCAACGAGCTCGCCGACTGCCTGGCCCGCTCGGCAGCTCTCGGCCGCACGTGTGGGCACTTGTCATGGTCCCACGACCTCACCAAACCATGGTGGTTCCAAAGTGGTTCTGCTCTTAGTTGGGCCGCTATTGCTGTCGCGAGCCTCTCCGCACGAGGCGTTTACCCGGGGCCCGCCTCCGAGGCAATGCCGCCATGCGACGATTTTCTCGGTCTTGAGCCGATCCAACTCGTTGCGCCCTTCCTCCCCGATGAAGCTCTCTCCACCGGCCAAGTCAAGCAGCACACATGGGGGCAATTGTCCATGCGTGTATGCTCTTTCAATGTGCTCTCCCTCAACAGCGCTACACTTGAGGGTACCGCGGCCGATGGGCTTGCGTTTCAGCCGGCCCGCCCAACACTCCTTGCTGAGAGCCTCAAGGCCGCCGGGGTACACATTGCGCTCCTTCAAGAAGCGAGAACCCAGGAGGGCATGCTTCGCACCCATGGGCACCTGCGTTACGCCTCTGGGAGCCTCAATGGTACACTCGGTGTCGAAGTGTGGCTCCTTGAAAACCATCCGCTTTTCTGTGGGCCCAGAGGACAGGCTAAACTCCACCTCAGCTCCCAGGCGTGTCTGGTTCTACACCGCGACCCGCGCCGAATCCTGCTCCTTTTTCGTCAAGACGGCTTCAGTCTATTGGTTGCGTCAGTTCACGCGCCGCACCGCGCTGTGGAGCAAGGCGTGATTGCTGCATGGTGGGCGGAAACCCACAGGCTGTGCAATGTGCATGCGCACTCTGCCCTCTTGCTGCTCGGGGGGGACATGAACGCCTCGCTCGGTTCTGTGACCTGTGCCGCTGTCGGCAATCACGATCCGATCCGGAGCCGCAAGACGAATCCGGTGCACTCTTTGCTGACTTCTTGCTCGAACACAGGCTTTGGGTACCGAGCACCTTCCCCTTTTGTCAACATGGACCCTCTGGTACGTATGTGCAAAAGCGCAACGGGGCCATGAGCAGAATTGATTTCATTGCGTGCCCCTCTGAGTGGCGTTCTGGCCAAATCAGCACTTGGACCGATGAGACTTTGCATACCGGACAGGCGTACATTGACCACCTCGCGACCTGCGCGCATTTTGACCTTACTGTCTGTCTTGCTGGTCGCCTGAAGAAAGCGCAAAAGCGCAGGTTTGATGGCCGCGCCATCCTTGCGCCAGCTGGCCAGGCACACGTCGAGCGCATCCTGAGGGACGCGCCCCGCATACCCTGGGCCGCCTCACCACACGCCCATGCCGCCACTCTTGTCCAGTACCTGCAGACCGAGCTCGCCTCAGCCTTCCCCCCGCAGAAAGGGCGGCGTTTTCGCCCGTACCTAAGCGACAATACGTGGGCGTTACACCGTGAGGTAGCTCGTCTCCGTAAACACTGTGTCAGCATCAAGCGCGCCCTCGCCTTCCATCTTCAAGCTGCTGTCTTTCAGGCTTGGAAGCAGGGGGATGGCAGTCCTCTGCTGCATATGCTCAACTCGGCCTGGACGCAGGAAGCGCTCTTTGCGGGGGCGGCTCAAAGTCACTTCCTCAGCGTCTCCTCACAACGGCTCAAGGCTGCCTGCAAACAAGACAGAGCTGCCCATTTCAGCTCACTCGCCGACGATGTGCAGCAGGATCGTCCGCACGCCAGCAAAGCCGTCCAGCGGTTAATGGGTTTGCGGCGCAAGAAACCTTTCAGACCAGAGGTTCTCCCTGCTCTGTGCATAGCTGATGGCAATCGTTGCAGGACGCCAGAGGAAGTCACTTCCCGCTGGAGAGAGCATTTTCGTGAGCAGGAAGACGGCTATGACATCTCCCCCGCGAGTCTGGCCAACCTAGGCGCTATGTCGGGCCCCACCATCGCGCCAGTCTCTCTCGGTGAGCTACCTTCTCCGGACATCCTCCTGCAGGTCATTGCCTCTTCTCAGAAAGGCAAGGCCCCTGGCCCTGATGGGCTGCCAGCTGAGGTAGGACATGCTTCACCGCAAGGTCTGGTAAAGCTGTTAATGCCACTCCTGCTTAAGCTTGGGCTCACTTGTGTTGAACCCATTGGGTTCAAAGGCGGCACACTCACCAAGCTGTACAAGGGCCGGGGAGACACTGCCCATTGCGCCAGCTACAGGGCCATCATGCTCCTACCCACGTTGGCTAAGTTCTTGCACAAAGCTTTCAGACCTGGCCTTTATGATGTCTTCCAGAGCAACGCCACACCAGCCCAACTTGGTGGACTCAAGAACACTTCGGTTGTTCTGGGATCGCACATTACCCGTGCCTTCTGCAGATTCTGTGCTGCCGAGGGCCTCACAAGTGTTCTACTCTTTGCCGATGTGGCGTCAGCCTATTACACAGCTGTACGTGCCCTCACAGCCAGAAAAGGGCAGGATGAGGAAACCACCGATGCTGTGTACCGCCCTGACAAAGAACATCTTGCTGCCGAGCTTTCAAAACCCTCGGCCATGGCCCAGGCCGATGCCTCTCCGTGGATCGAGTCCTTGACTGCTGAGCTTAACAGCAGCACTTGGATGTGTCTAGCAGGAGACGTGCAGCCCGTTGTAACACGGCAAGGCTCACGCCCCGGTTCGAGCTTTGCCGATTTGTTTTACGGCGTTACCGTCCCTCGTATGCTTCAGTGGAGGGACTCAGCCCGCTCTGGGAGTGAAGCATCGCTCCCAGCGGTCGAGCATGCCCCTACTGTTCGCTGGGACGGACGTTTCGATTTCTCCGAGCCCAGTCGGGACCCGGCGACATGGACTTCTGCTGCGACGCTCGACGATGTCATTTGGGCCGACGATTTGGCCAAATGCATTGTCGTGCATGAGGCCCAATGTGTGGCAGCTGCTACTGCCTTTGAGTGCGGGATCCTGGCAGATGCTTTCTATGCCCATGGCTATGAACTCAGTTTCGGTCCCACCAAGACAGCTGCCATTGTTGTTCCCCGTGGAACCGGATCGAGGAAAGTCAGGAAGGCTCTGTTTTCAGCTAAGCCTGCCCTCCCCATCCTCCGTGAGGAGCTAGGTGCGGCATCCCTGCCACTTGTCACAGCATACCGGCATCTTGGCGTCAAGATCTCTTCCAGTCCCTCCCTCATGGTCGAGCTTCGACATCGCGCTTCTCACGCTTGGGCTGCCTTCCAGCAAGGCCGAACCAAGGTGTTCCGCACGGGACGAATTTCTGTTCACAAGCGCGGAGCACTTCTGTCCACGCATGTCATGACCAAGCTCCTTTTCGCCGCCGGCGCCTGGCCTGCCCTCAGCAAGGGCGAACATGCCTTTTTCTTTCGCACTGTGCTCTCCCTGTACCGCCAGACTCTTGCTATCCCTCATGATGGCGACCAGCACCTCACGCATGCGACTATATGTGCGCTTGTAGGGCAGCCCCCTCCTGAGATCCTGCTGCTCACCGAGCGTGCGCGGTACCTCCTCCAACTGCTCAACGCAGCTCCTGTGCAGCTGTGGGCTCTAGTCCGGCGTGATGCGGACTATGTGTTGCACCTCCGAGGCGCGCTCTTTTGGGTGTACCATTGGGTCCAGGATACCTCTGATCTCGGTCATCCCGACACCCATTGGCCTGCATGGGACCACACCATGCGCTTCCGCCCACATGTCTTCAAGGCACTCATCAAGCGTGCACGGGGTCTTGAAATCGTGCGCACAGCGTGCTTTGCAGCCTTCCAGGCCGTTCGCCGCGCCCTTGGCCTGATCACTGACAGCGACCCTCCGCCCACACCGCATGGCGTACGTTACCAGGAGGCGTGCCTCCAGTGCAAAATTGCCTTCCCCAGCCGCACCGCTTGGGCTTGTCATGCTTCCCGGTTACATGGTTACAGGGCATCCTCCACCGTCCTCACCTCGGGATGTGATCGCCCGCTCTGTCAATCATGCGGGCGACTGTACGCCAATTTCGGCCGTCTCAAGAGACACCTTGCTTCTTCTGCAGCGTGTCGCACCCGATGGGGAGCCTTCATACCTTCTGACCACGCTCCGCAGGAGGCCCACCCTGAAGCGCCACCCACCTGCCTGCCTGGGCACAGAGGGGCGTTCCTTGCCGACTTAGACCCCTCCAAAGTCCACCCTGGCCTCTTGCGGGAGCTGCAAGGGCTCACTTCTCTCCTTTCCGAAGACGTGTGGGACGTCGTTCAAGGGTATGTCGAGCCCCTCTCCATGCTCAAGGACACACTAGAAGAATGGTCTCGACAGCCAGGGCGCGATCAGGACCCTCTCGCTGCTGCTGCCGTCGCGAGTGATGTCGGCCTCCTTCTTGACCCTGAACTTTGGTGTGAAGACTTCCGGGCTCCCAAGCAGCCTTCGATGCCGGCAGTTGCCTGTCCACCTTTTGACACGTTCAATCCAGGACGCCTGCCCTTCGTGCTCTCCGGGGATGAGCACGTTGTTACCATCGAAGACCCTCCACTTCGGGCCTGGGTTTATCCCTTCAGAGCCAGCGTTCCCCTCTCTGCTGCCCGTCGGCATTTGGCTTGGGCCGAGGCAGCTTGTGATGTCATTGGACTTACCCTGCAGATCTCCCGTGCCAGTCCCGTCCGAGTTCGGCTGTCTCCCGCAGCCTCCGCCTGTTTGAGTCCGATCCCGGGATGGCTTGAGAGCAGCGGTTTTAGGGTCGAGTCAGGATGCATCCGCTCCCCTCGCGGTTGAGCCAGGCACCTGCTCCCCTTTTCTGTCGTCTCACCCTCGAATTTAGTGCGAGAGGCGCGTCCTCTGGACCCATGCCTACCCGAAAGAAAAAAATATATATATATATATATATGTCAAGATAGATGTTGCGAGGAACCCATCTAACATGAGACCCCCTTCGTCAAACTCCAGGATGTTGCTGAGCAGTCATCATGGTTGACATTTGGGAATCAGAAACTAAGGACCCTTAAATTAATACGGGCGACTTCCGATCCGCAAAGAAGGACCCCTTCATTTCCAGAAGCCACCGTTGCTACCGCTACCCTCCGCCTGCACCCCAAACCCCTAAACTTCCTAAACCCAAAGCCCTGAACACCTGAAATCCGAAAACCCCAAAACCCTTAAACTCCCATGGCCCCGAACATCCAAAACCCGCGGACCCCAAAACCACTAAACCCTGAACCGTAAACCACCCAAAAACACCATCGAACGGTGAAGCCGCCTTGCGTTGGGGCAACGATAGCCTTGACCTCAGTGCGCACGAGAATGCCTTATGGGTCGTTGGTCACCCCTAAGTTTTAGTTAGGGTTGGGGGGAACTTATCAAGGAACAAGTACTCACTAGCTAGGATGTACAGCAGTCATCAGATTTTGCCAAGTTCGAATTTTTGGCTCCATTAGAGGGCATGGTTCGGGGTGTGGAGAAGGGAGCAGTACTTGAGGGCTGGGGCGGGGGGGTAAGCTTTCAATGATTGAGGCTCTCCTCAGGTTAGCTGTGCAAGTATCAACTTACTAGGAAAATACCCATGTCTACCTACCTTAAACTCCAACCTCAAAGCCCGAATCCGTCAAGTCGTCGTACATCTTAAGGCTCTTAGGATGTAATCCTAACCTTAAACCCTTGAACCCCTAAACCCCTAAACCTCTCAACACTTAAACCCTAAACCCTGAACCCTGAACCCTTAACCCCTAAACCCTAAACACTGAAACCATCCTGAGCCTCCAAGCCCGAAACCCAACTACGTCTCAGGGATCCTTAGAGGGATCCTTAAAGGGGTCTATGGGGTTTAGGGTTTAGGGTCTACTTGGAGGGTCGGGGGGACTTAGTAAGCAGTTGCTCTCTCGAGTTATAAGTATCATAACCCCATTTCGGATCCCTGTTAGGGTACTTCTTAGTACCTGCTTACTTACTAAGTCTCACCTCCAAGTAAGGAGCGGTCTGATGCTACCTACCCCAAGATCCCCAGGTACTGTTGTGGGGGATGCTTGCCCAAATCAGAAGAGCATTTCCGGTACAGAAACCCTAGATTCTGCTGTAGTAGGTTAGAAGCTGCCCCCACCCTGTAATAGTGACTATAAGGATTATATTGGGCCCTATTATATTCCCATTATACCACTATTACAGGGTGGGGGCCCCTTCTAATGTATAGGTCTTTAGGAATCCGTTGGGCTCTGCAATACTAACCTGCGAAGTGCTTTGCGAAGCCTCAAAACTAAGTTGATAAGGTGTAGGGTATAGGTAGTATTCTTAGGGGGACCCCGTAAAGGGTACCCCTTCTGAACCCCACTTCTGGCTCTCTCAAAAGGGGCCTTATTGAGAGGGTCTATATCCCCAAGGGTCCCCCCTAATCCTAACTCCCAGGGTATTCTATGAGGTGCCGAGCATGTGGAGTTCCGACTCAGACTTAGCTCCAAGCAAAACAGGCACAACACACAGGCATCAAGGGTAACTAGGAAGCTGCGATTGCCACTGCTGGCATTCATGCCCATACTGTGAGACACTATATGAGAGAGCGCTAAAACAGGCCACCAAAAGAACAAAAGACTGGACACTGCGAAAGCCTTACCGAAGCGTGATCAAAACCCTCTAACCACGCAAACCCCTTGAAGGGTTGAAGTCCTTCTAGAGAAAAGCAGATCATCAAGTAATCCAGTACGTACGTAGACATACGTGTCCATACATGTCTATATGTGTGTAGGGAGAGAGAGAGAGAGAGAGAGAGTCAAACAGAGCTGGTGGTTTATTGCAAAGCCGTCCATCTGTTTGTCGTTATCCAGATATATCACATCCTCTACTACCAGTAGTCAGTAGGTTGATGAATCACACGCTGTCTCAAAGCAGGCTACCCTAAACCCCAAACCCTAAACCGGATTTTGGGATTGAGGGTTCAATGGGCTGCCATAAATGAGGAATAGGCCCTATACATCATACTAGGGATCCTACGCTAGTTAAGGGAGCTTGGAAGGTCTGGTTGAACCCTAGAGCCCTTAACCCTAAAGCCTAAACCCCTAACCCTACGAATTACACCCTGAACCCTAATTAAACCCCTAAACCCTAAAACGGATGGGGGTTTAGGGCTCAGCGGGTTTAGGGTTTATGGGGGGCTGTAAGAATGCTGTGAGCTCCCGGCGTTCTCCTCGTCTTTCCCCAGGAATGCGAAGCGGGGCGCGGCGCCCTCACGCCGGGAACCCTGAGAAAAACGAGGTGTTTTCGGAAGTTTACGTAGTAGTAGTGTTTGCGTCTAGGATTTGGGGCTATGTTTAGGGCTTGGGGTTTAGGGTTGTTTAGGCCTCGGCATTTAGGGACTAGGGTCACGTTTGCTAAGCTGTTTTGGCCTGGGGTGTCGGGCTCTGCGCACTCTTGTTTTCTGCCTGAAAGACTGTGTCTGATCCCGGACCACCCAAAGTGCACTTTTATAGAGACCCTGTGGTCCCCAATGGTGGGCATGTGGAGGTATAAAAATACGGATGATGCGACGTCTTAGGGAAGACAGGTTTTCGGAGAAATAGCTGCAGGGGGAATACTGTTGATGATATAAGTCCTGCACAACCTTAAAAAACCCAAACTATGGGAATCATGGTATAGTCCTTCTTATGGGTAATGCAGGATGTATATCAGTATATCATCAACCGTAGCATTTGGGACGCATTTGGGTCTTGCCTTTGTTGGTTGAGGGCCTCTTTCGTCGCTTGCAGTCCGAAGCCCGTGTTGGGCAGGCTTCGACTTCCTCTACGCATGGTGTACTTGGAGGGTCGGGGGACTTAGTAAGTAGGTAGTAAGTAGACTTATACGTACCCTAAAAGGGACCCTAATTGGGGTTATGGTGTAACCCCAAAGGTCCAAAGGACCCAATAATTAGGAACTCGGTTTTAGGATAGTGGTTATGTAGGCTAGGATTTTGGAGAGTATATGATTATTAGGTACTTGGACCCTTGGGGTAAGGTTTACAGCGAACCCCAGAAAGTTGGAACATGGACTAAGGATGATAAGTCCTAGAATCCCGTTTACTTCACCTTAAGGCTACCTGGATAATGATGTTCCAACTTTCTGGCTTCTACTTTAAGGGCTTGGGGTTTTGGGTTGCGGTTCTCTTGTCAAGGAGCCATTGCAGAATACTGATGAGGACTCTGCTGGATGGGATATCTCAGATTCCAGGGATCTGGTAAGCGCTGTTAGGAAAGGCAGGGTAAATGACAAGCCATGCATCGTGGATCATTATGGTCCCATGTGCATTACACTTGAAATTGTGATGCCCCCGAAGAAGCCGGGATGTGTCAGCGAGAGGGTTCTCTCCACCCTGCCCATCCGAACATCGGGTATAGCAACAAAAGATGGATCGATCAACTGACAAACAGACTGTTCGTCACAGATCGAGATCATAAGGGGCCTCAGCAATTGGAGTAGGGGATTGGGGTATATTACCATTAGTAACAGGAGTGCAACTATAATGGATTAGTGTTGGTAATGATTCAAGTGTCTACATTAGGTAGCTGCACCTCCATATTCGGTAGCTGCAGCTCTGCCACCTCTCGAAAAGCCAGACACTAAACCCTAATTCCTAAACGTGAAAGCTCGACCCGCAAGCTTGTGAGCCCAAACCCTGAAACACCTTAAGAACTGAACCCTAAACCCTCTAAGCCGTAAACACTCCCTGGACCCTGAACAACCTACTTAGTCGATGACTTATGCAAGGAAAAAACAACTAACCCTAAAAAGGTAGGTTTTATAGGGTCCAGGTAAGCCCGGGATTCGAGCCTTGTCCTCACCGGGCGAGATCCGCGCCTTTCCAGCCGGTTTTGTGCTTCAGGGTTGTGTCAGAGGCTTTAGGATCTACCTTGGATGCCCAAAGCCACTGTTTAGGGAATATGGGAATATACCCTCGCAATAATTCATGACCTACTATGTTGTAGGGCCGGGCAAAACATGCATTATTGAGGACGGTCAAGTATAATTCCAAAAAGCAAATAAACCGCCGGAAAAAAAGAACAGCGTTAGAGCGGGTCACTTGACTAAAGCCAGAGCGACATGAACTTAGGGGCTGAATATACCCTAGCACAAAAACAAGGCTAACCTGGTAGGATTGTATAAACCTCAAAAGGTTAATTAAAGGTTATACCTACTCAGCTACTAAGTTACGGCTCGGCATTCCATGCTAACGCAGAAGTTCAAGCCTGCCGAAGTCCCTCCATCCATGCGGCCTCGCCTTGTGAATACTTCAGACGCCTGAATAAGTAGCATAGGGTCCTTGTCATAACCAGAACACATAAAACACACCAAGAGCCTTCGGGAAGATTTAAAAATTGTACATCAACAAAATGCGTCAGGGTCTTCATAGCAACCCTGATAGCAACCCCTGTGGAACCCCTGAAAGGAACCCTTACAGTAGGGGGTACTATTGCAGGCTTGCATATGAAGACAAAGCACCTTGGCGATCAACAGCTGTCTGAGATGGTCGTCCGTGATCTTCCTCAGAGAGGTGGGCTCTCGGGGTTTAGGATTTAGGGTTTTAGGGTGTAGTGTTTCGGGCTTAGGGCTTGCGGTTTAGGGTTCGCCTAATGCTTGCAGAATTTCGAAGCCCTAGCCGAAGCCTGAAGCCCCGAACCACTTTAAACCCGTTCACTGCCTTCACAGAAAATTGCGATCAGACACGGCCTGCTAGAGACGAGTCCGAAAGCCCTTGCTGACAAATTCCTGATGCACCCCAGGTGGCAGGTGATGTAGCATGTCACCTGAACCCCCAAACCCCTAAACCCCTAGACCCTAAACCCCTAAACCATCCTAAACCCCAATGTCAACTTAGACTCCTGCGCCCCTAAACCATACATGCAGACTCCTACTCTTGATGATATAAATTCTGCATTACCTTAAGGACCCTAAACTATGGGAATTATGCTATATTCCTTCTTATGGGTCATGCAGGATTTATATCATCAACCGTAGGCCCTAAACTTGAAACACGAAGCACCAAGCCCCAGACCGAGATCTCTTTGCCCCAAGATGTAGGGTATAGCAGCTCGGGTCTTGGCCTATTGCGATCTCCCTAAAAAGGCGGGTCAAAGTAGGGTTTCGGGCTTAGGGCCTCTCCACCCAAAGGCTTGCCCCACCCCTCCTCCTTCTGCCACACGCCCCCAAAGCACTTAAACTTACGGATCCTGTCCCGTTTGGGGTTTAGGGTCATCATCAATGATTAGGGCTCTATACTAAGCAATAAGGGAAAGCAAAATTATAATACCAGATCCAAACCTGGTTTCATTCGGGTCCAAAGGCGACTGAAAGGGGGTGGGATTTCCAGAAAACCGTTTGAGATGCCTATGCCCAGGAGAAATGGCCCCCATAGCTGGTAATTCTGAGGTTTCTGATGTTTCTGAGAGTAGCCCCTTTGTAATATGGATACTCTTTTCCTACCTATTCGGTTTTAGTAAGGGAACCCTCAAACGAAAAGGGCAAAAGGGTAGTACTCAGGAACCTAGTAGACCCTAAAAAAGGGAGCCCTGGTAAGGGCCCCGTACCTAGACCCCCCTAATAGAGCCCTGTGAAGGGAGCCCTATAAGGGCCCCCCAAAGTATGTAAATAATGGCCCAAAACCCATGAAAGGCTTTATTCTGCATACTTTTGGGGCCAGGAAGGCCGCCTGGTCCTTCATGATCTCCGCCGTCACCTCCTCGAACGTGAGCCGGAGGCGCATCTGCATAGCCAGGCGCCGGGAGGCAGCGTACGGGCGCTTGCGCGCCCGGGACGTCCAACACTGGGCGTGCTCCGCCGCCCCTTCTCCGTGGCAACGCCGGTGAGCGTCCAGGCCCAGCGGACCGCCTCGATGCCATCGATCACGCCGAGAATCCCCGGGGTCATCCTGGTCGTGCACCAGGGCGCCGTCCAAGTAGTCCTTATAGATCCCATATACAACCCTTTAATGAGCCCTTTATGGCCCCATAGTCAGTAATTTTGCAGGCTCAGGCGTCCGTGTCTGCAGCAGAGGCAAGGTGGAGATGGGACACTCGCCTAGCAGGAGGTTAGGTTGATGTAGGCTTAAGGACTCCAAGAGGAATACCTAGGGTCCTTTAAGTGATCTGTAAGGGATCTATAGGGTTTAGGTTTAGGGGATTCTGAAATCCTTTAATTAAGGAATATATCCCTTAAATCATATTAGGGATCCTATAATTTAAGGTATATTCCTTAATTAAGGGATATTGGAGTCTCTGGGGGTTTCGGGAAGGCAGAATTTCAGTGGGCAGAAGCTAGACCTTTCACCCGAAACCCTGAAAGCCCCGGGCCCTAACCCCGACCCTACAGGCTTTGTCTACAGGCTTTGGACATTGAGGGTCTAAGTTCTAGTTGCACAGGGCAGGGTTGAGGCTTTACTTTATTTCGGTGCATGCACAAACCCTACGAAATAGCAGGTCATGGTTCCTGGAATATGTGGCATAACCCCCCAAAACAGTGGGTTTTGGGATCCGCAGGTACCGTATATGTGTTTAGGGCCCGAACCTAGACAAGCGCCCAATGGAGGGTGGTTGACGCTTGCATTCTCCCAGGGCTCCAGCCCAGGTATCGCTTGCCATGTCGGAAGAGGAGATCAAAAGACCAGAGATGCCAAGAAAGGGTAGATGCTGCCAAGTTAGCGCCCAACAGCTTCTTGAGCCATCGCAACAAATCAGCGGAACTCTTTCAAATCTTTCAAGCGGCGCTTATCTTGCCCCTGCCTTTGCGGCACATGTCGTTTCAACCCAAAGGTCCTGCTACAGTCACCTCGGGGTGCTGCATTGAATTCCATACAAGTGGAGCAGCAAAGCATGCCAGGCGCTTTTATGCACGGCTATGCGGAGGAGGAGCTGCTTGGAGGTAAAGCTTGGTAACCACCCTACACCACAAACTCTAAAGCCTACGTGAACCCCAAGGAAGCCTAGAGTACCTGGACTTGTATTCGGAAATCATAATGAGGAACGCCCAACAAGTACGCTCTTTGGTGTTACGGTGTAGCTTAACCACTAAAGCCTGACCCAAGAACTGTGCACCGTAGCTCCAATCCCTCCAATCTTATATACACACACATAAGGACTACGAAGGGGCACTCCGAGAAAATCTTCAGACATCTAGTATCAGAGCTTGAAATTGAAGATATGAGGCCTCTGGCTTGGAGCTTAGAGCTTTAGCTGCAACGGCTTCAAAGATGCTATCGACGTGCAAACCCCAAAAAGCCCGCTCAAGCTCCCTAAAGGTCCAGGGTTTAGGGCTGAAGCCCGAACGGTTTAGGGTTTAGGGCTTAGGGTTTCGGGTTTGGGGTTTAGGGCTTTGGGTTTAAGGTTTAGGAAGCCCCACATGATAACACCAAAAACAATCTGCTAACCCATCAAAGACACAAAGAACCCGAAACACCTCCTGGTGGTGCTCCCTCCTTTTGCGGACCCCAGCACTGTAGCGTAGATTATAGCCTTGTCGTATCCCTAAAGCCATGCTGAGCCAAGCCCGAAAGCCCTAAAGCCATACTACGCTCATGAGACCCCTATTATGCAATCAACGGTTTAGGGTCTAGGATTTAGGGTCTTGAGTATACAATCAAACCCACACTCCAATCCCATAAGAAACTCCATGGTCCATAATAAAGCCATCGAACAAAGCCTGACAAACAAAACCCCCGTGAGATGGCACGGCCTTGCACGGTCTCGAATCGGTAGAGAGAGTGGCCTTCTGGGAGCGTCAGCAGCTCCTCCTGCTGCTTCGCAGCTGTTTTGTTCTTTTTGTTCATGTGCCCTTACTTAAAGGATCATGGGACTTAGTAACTGGGGTTATAAATAAGGTAGCTATACCTATAATTACTGAAAACCCAATTAAGGTACTTATAACCTTACTGACTAAGTCCCATGATCCTCAGGGATTGACGTGTCCAGTCCAGGGCTCAGGGTTTAAAGTCCGATGCGCTCGTTTGCTATCTTTTGCGGCTGGTTGTGGTTTTGTTATCGGGTGAAGGTTGTTCCAAACCCTAAACCCTAAAACCCTAAACCCTAAACCCCTTCTTAGGGCCTTCTTGTCCTCTCAAGGTTTGAACCCCTAAACCCCTACACCCTCAAGACGAACTTGTGTAAGCGAGGTTGCCGCCTTTTCGGCTCAGGTTTCCTGGGGCGTAGGGCTGAGGGTTTAGGGGTGTAGGGTTGAGGGCTTCAAAGGGATTAGAGGGATTGAGGGCTTAGGGATTAGGGTTTTCAAAAAAACTAGGGTTTAGGGATTATACAGTTTTTAAAGGGATCGACGGGCGTAAGTAAGGGATTTCAGGCGGCTGGATCTTGCCCCCTGACGGTGTTGCCAATCCTGACCCTGCAAACCTCTAACTGCTTTTAGAACTCCCTTACCGAAGCCTGAATCAAAATATAATGTAGGGGCCTTATCAATTAGAATGGGGTTTTGGGGGCCCATCATACCATCATTTCAATAAGGCATCGGAATTATATACGCCCCTACAGTACACCCTGAATCCGAAACCCTGAATCCGAAACCAATCCAGGCTTATCTGCCTCTTCCTCCTCTTCCTCGTCCACCTGCAGGCAAGCGAGAAATGCAAGCTCTGCACTCGACGCTTCAGGGGTCCACACAAAAAATATTACTCGTCAGGATTTGGGAATCATAATTCTCATAACGTCGGAAGCATGCAAGCAATACGAAGCTGAAGAACATTTCCTTTTCCTGGGCCCCAACCAACCTACCTTTTTAGGGCTCCTTATTATGATTTCATTAGACAAGTCCTTAAAAAGGCAGGTTATTTAGGGTCTAACTTAGGCTTCAGGTGTGACCTTGGGGTTTGGCGTTTCAGGCTTCTGATTCTGGGCTTTGCAGAGTTTCGATCCCTCCAGCAGTGACAAGTTCAGAGACAAACCAACCCTAAACGCTAAAGCCTCACAAAACCTACCAAAACCTACTTCTTTGTAGAGTCTCTATATCTGCCATATTAGGGTTCATAATGCGAACCTACGAAGTAGGATTGACCCTAAACCATAAACCCTAAACCCTAAACCCTAACCCTAAGCCCTAACCCCTAAGGCCCTAAACCCTAAGCCCTAAACCAAACCCTAAACCCTGAACCATAAACCCTAAACCCTAACCCCTAACCCCTAAACCCTAAGACCTGAAGCCTGCTCACCATTACGAGCGGCCCATGGTCTTTCAATTGGGGGGGCGGGGTGCCTGATTTGGGGGCCTTCAGAATTAGAATAGGGTTTTTTGGGGCCCACTCTACTATAACTATGATAAGGAACCCTCAAGACAGTGTGGGTAATTATTACGGCCCCTATATTACTACAGTTATAATTCTTCAGGCTCGGGTAGTAACAAGTATATGCCGTTCGCTTCACACAGGAAACGAGTACAGTATGCCCCAACACATTTTGTGTCAGTGTGTGTTGTGGGGGGGGTGCACCGAGCCAGACATCATAAAACCTAAACCGGTTGGCATCTCGGGCTGGGCACACCCGAATCCCTTCACCCCAAACTCCTGACCCTGCACTTTTTGTAAGTCAAGAGGTATCCCGAATCTTATGGTTGGACCTGTATTTACCGGACCCGTAGATATACAACTGAAAACATCTTAGACAATTAGGCATACTACTCCCTTTGCATACTAGGGAGTATTTATTGTCCGGATAGGTTAACCATCACTGCGCCTTCTATATTATATTGAACCCACATAGCAACCCTTCTAGAACCGTTTAAACGGAACCCTTACAGGGACCCCCAAAATCGCTTGGGGGATTCCGTGTCTCGAGCCTCGTCACCCTCAGCGGCTGAACCGGTTCGACGGCGGACGATGGCCACAAGCCGCTGCGCCTGGCTCACAATTTCAGGCCAAGGGTTTCGCACAAGCTAAACCCTAACCCTACCTTAAGCCGGAATAACCTACCTTTTCAGGGCTCCTTATTATGATTTCCTTATATAAGTCCTTAAAAAGGTAGGTTCTTCCGGCTTAAGGTAGGGATCTAAGGACTCATATATTAAGGCTTTTGGGCCCAAAGACCATACTATATAAGGCTTTTTGGGCTATTTTGATCCCCAGGGTAAGCGCCAAACCTCCTTGGAGGGCTTAAGCTTCAGAGTTTTATGCTAGATTCCTGAGTAACCCCATCATAGCAAGGGTACCCTTTTTCCTACTACTCGGCTTCAAAAGGGACCCTACTACTTGAAAGGGCAAAAGGGTTCCACTCGGGAACCCAGCATGGGTTTCGAGAGTTCATCTTGTGAGAGGCTTTACAGGGATTACAGGAGCTAGGCCTCCAGGAAGTGGTCATTTCACGGTGTACATTACCCTGAACTGACAGAATCCAGGTTTTTTGTAGGGTCCTTACAGATTCTATAGTAAGGTCCATAGTATACACCTACAAGTAATCGGTGATGGCAGTTGGGCGTAGGATTCAGGTCAGTCGCGTCGGGGTATCCTGGACCCTGAAGCCCGTGGAACTTATCTTCCGAGGCTTGAAGGTTGCACCCTGCGTGTTCTGGTTTGCACCCTAATTAAAGGATCATGGGACGTAGTAAGTAGGTTACAATTGGGGTTATAAGTGCACTAAGTGGGGTTATCCTAATTATAGCCAACTCATAACCTCACTGACTAAGTCCCATGAGCCTTTTTAAGTAGGCCCTATCAACCCTCGCCCCTGAACTGCCTAAACACTACTGTTGATGATATAAATCCTGCATTACCGTAAGGACCCTAAACTATGGGAATTATGGTGTATTCCTTATTATGGGTAATGCAGGATTTGTATCATCAACCGTTTAGGTTCTGCCACCATACAGTAAGAGTGCTTTTGAGGGCTACTATTAAGGTCCTAATATAGATTTATCTTTATTATGAGTATATTCAACTATTGCTGAGTGGGAGCCGTACCCAAAGGATACTATAGTTTCGAAGGTTTGCTTGTCGCCAGGTTCAAGAAGATTTTGTAGCGTTTAGGCTTTAGGAGTAGGGTCTGGGGCTCAGAGTTTGTAGGGACATGCGCATGATCTGGCCCAAGTGCTTTACAAGACAGAGACATCGAAGCAGAGAGAGAAAGGTGGACAGCGCACGAAACCCACAGCGAACTTTGCCTTTTAGCCAAGCGCGTGTGCATATTGTATGCATGCATAAATGTAGGCATGTAAGCGGTCCTACGCATGTGTGCTTGCACGGAAAGCGGTGGGCTGTAGGAAGCACCTCTACAAAAACATGCGCTATCAATAGCGAGAGAAGACAGGCCAGAGAGGGAGGCAGAGAGAGGGAGAGCGAAGCAAATAAATAAAACAGGGAGAGAGGGAGAGGGAAAGACAGACAGAGATACATATTATATATATATATATATATACATACATACAATAAACACATATATGTATATATACGTAGAAAGAGAGCGACGGAGAGACAAGGGATGCAATGGAGAATTCCGTCGCCCGATCCTCCCGAACATTTACTTACACCTCAACTCCTAAACTGCCCACAATCTCAATACTTGCACGCCAACCGCAAGGCCAAGAAGCAGCATTTTGGGACGATGTGTTGTCGACCACCTCTTGTGCCACCTGCACAAGGCGGCATCAAGCTTGGACTCGGAGTCTGGATTCCAGCCCTACTGTTTAGGGTTAGGGTTGTGTCAAGAGTCAAGGGCCTAAGATGGCCTCCATAGTAACTGGAGCGTTAGTCCTAAACAGGCGAGGGGCTTTAAACTAATAGCGGACAAACAAGCTGGAGGACTCGAATCTCTGCATCTTAATTACCCTCTCCTAAACACTTACCACCAACCCCTTAGCCAAACCACTCAAAGGCTCATGGGACTTAGTAACTGGGGTTATGAATGAGGTAACTATACTTATAGCCCCAATTAAGGTACTGGTCCTACCCAACGCACGGCCCTTTGCCACCTGCGGCAAGTAGACGACCTTCGCTTTCTGGTCATCCGCATACCACAGGCCTAGCGTTTGGACATGGCGTTGCTTGGGCCACAGAACAGTTCAGTAAGTGGGAACCTCGTCCTTTACGGATTCCTTTAAGGATATAGAACTGTCAGGTTTTGGTGCTGAAGTAAGTGTTCCTTGAGGAGGGTTCCCTTCAATTTCAGCTTACCTGGGCTTCGGAAGATATTTCCATGGGGCGCTGTTGAACTTCTTGAGCCTTGAAGAGGTCTAAAACTTCTATGAAGACAGAAGAATACGAGCCTCCCAACGGGTCCGAGAAGCACAGGATAAGCCTAGGCCAGCTAATGGCTCGCAGCTTCAGAACGGTGGACCCCTCCTTGGTTTACCTCCCTAAGCTCTACAAGCCCTAAACTCTAGACTATAAACACTAAACCCCATAGACCCCAAACCCTACAAGCTACTTGGAGAGGCAGGGGACTTCGTTTAGAAGTAGGGTTATCATTAATTGGGGTAACTCCATTTAGGGTACTTATAACTCTACTTATAAGCTGCTTACTAAGTCCCCTGCCCCTCCAAGTAAATCCTATGGACCCCAAACCTTACAAACTAAACCCTAAACCCTAAAACCCTAAGCACTATAGACCCCACACCCTACAAGCTAAACCCTAAACCCCTGAGTCGGCAGCCATGTGTACCAGGACTCCAGTCCTGCAGCCGGTTTAGGGTTTCGGGGTTAGGGTTCGGACATCATACTTAATGTAGGGTTTAGGGTTTAGCAGCTGAGTGCCTAGCCCAAAAAAGGTTAGCCTTTTCAATTCTGGTAGGATGATACAAACCCCCAAAGGGTACGGAAAGGACTGTTACACTGTTGTGGCGTGTATACAAAGGTTAAAGGTTACCTACTCAGCTACCAAGTATGGGTGACGGAACCATTCTTGAATGAACCAATACCTTTGCCCCCAACCAAGCTTTCTCCTCAGCGGGTGTGTCGACCATTTCATCTTCGTCAATCACTTCGTACAACATGCTGTGCAAGTATTTTTTCAAGCGTCCTCCGCAACCCTTTTGACAAAACTTTCTTCTCTCAAATTCGCCTATATACTTTCCTAGAGGCTCCACATATAGTACCATTATGGAATTAGGTCCCCAAAGCCGTGATATGGATGATCTTTGGGGACGTGGTTCCATAAGGGTACTATATATGGAGCCTCGCCTCTGGGTTTGAGAGCGACTCCCAGAGACACTACCAATACCTAAAGTCTCCATTGTAGTTCTTCTTTTTGGTTAACCGAAAACTATATCATAGGGTCCTAAACAGAAATCTGGTTAACCCAAAAAGGAACTACGGCTGTTGATATAAACCCTGCATTACCCATAATGAGGGATGTACCATAATTCCCATAGTTTAGGGTACTTAAGGTAATGCAGGATTTATATCATCAACAGTACGATGTAGACTAGAGGTACACTTTGATAGCGTAGTACAGCAGTGTTCATCTTCTAGGTGGGGCTTTTAAAGCCTTCGAATTTTTTTTAGTAAATCTCATCCTTAAAATACCTATAGAGGAGCCCCTTTAAGGCCTAAATACATAAATACATAAAAAAAAGTGTATATATATATATGCCATTAATGCATAAGATCCTCTTAAGCCCAATAAGGGAAACATAACATGTCCCAAAGCCCTACCTGGTCTTGGTTCTGACCATGACAGCCTTGCCCCTGATAGGTTGCCCCACTCCTAAACCTCCTCTCGAGCTCGGTATGGCTGAACTGCGCATCTTTTCGATCACCAAGTTCGTGAAGCCATGTGGGTGGTTATCAAAATTATGCCCCTTTTGGTCCCTAACATAGTACGGCACCTGATATTTACAGGGGCCCTAATTTTGACAACCACCCATGTGATGCAAACCTCGCCCCGAACATGATTTCCAGCCGGACCGGTCTCGCCCCACGCGCTGCCAGATGGGAGTTTCCGAAAATAGGGACCCTGATATAGCACCCTAATTATAGTAGGAGCCCAAAGTAAGGTACCGCTTGTTTTCGGCAACTCCCAGATCGTGGACCAGATTGGTGGCATCTTGGTAGTGCTCAACAAGACGAAGGTTCGCTTGGCCTTGCGGTTCACTGATCACGCATGCTCCGATCTTCCTAATATAGGAACTTGATTAAGAAACCTTGGGCCTTTATTCGGGTTCCTTATATGAACCCTACTATTTTGGGTTTATAGGCCCAGGATTTCTGAATCAGGTTCCTATCTACATTACCCGATCCTCATCAGATGTGTAACACCGCTCAGCTTCAATTGAGGGTTGACAGCGCTGAGGCTTTAGCATTCAGGTCATTGATGGCTCAGGGATTAAGGTTTTCGTGTCCTGCGGTGTCAGGGTTCAGGCCTTACGTACTGCCCTCTCTCACACCCCAGATGCCCATTATTTTTGTTTATCTGGCGCATCGGGGTTATAGAGCTTAACCTAAAGATTAGATAGGGTGTCCAAACGGTTTAGGGTTCCTTTGGAAGTAGTGTTTACAGAGCTTACAGGGTTTGTGGTTTAGGGCTTACGGTGCAAGGAACGCTTGCAACACCCGTGTAGAAGCCTTGTAAACCCATACAGATTTCAGATTTCGAAATTTGGGAGCTGAAACTGAGTCATGGTGCTCCATGACCCAGAGGCTCCATAGAAAGTTCCATTATGGAAGTAGGTCCCAAAAGACCATCCATATCATGGCTTTGGGGACCTAATTCCATATGGTACTCTATATATATATATATGTGTATATTATATATATATATATATATGGAGCACCCAAGGCCACTTTGCCAATCGTTCCTGAAACCCCAGGCCCCAAATCCCACAAGAGGTCCTGAGGTGTTTCAGAGATGTCGGTGAAGTTCTGAAGGAGGGACACCTGCTAGGCAGAGGGAAATGTTGCATCTATCTTGGGGTCCTTGTCTACATGTGGCCAATCGCGGTTCTGGACTCGAGCAGTGTCTTGTATCACCATTTCCATCTTCGCGATCGTTGAGCTTTGTCTGGGGATTGGGTTCAGGCTAAAGCCTTCCCAGAATCGCTGTATTCACTTCTTCGTACGTTGTCGAAGCGAGCAGGCGGAGAAGATTTTGCTGTCCCCTTTTTTCGGCATTAGCGCACATTCACTTTCTGCACTTTTTGCAGATTCGCGTCGGGGAGTGCACACTGAATACAGCAAACCTAAACCCTAAACAGCGGCAACACGCCAGCAGGGCACCACAGATCAAAGAACTCGCACGGCACTCGATGAGGCTGTCACATCCAAGGCGCAGAAGCCCCATATTCCTTAACCCTGAACCTCCTAAACCCTAAACCCTAAACCTTCAAACACACCCTGAAATATAGAGGCCTGAAGAGTTAGAGTGGGGTTTTGGGGAATACCATACTACAATCATGATAAGGACCCCCGAACAGTATAGGTCATTATTAAGGCCCCTATAATACTCTAAACCCCAAGATGCCACCAGCTTGTCTGCTTCTGTATCCCAACCCCGTAGTAGGAACTCTGAAACCCAGACTAAAGCCAAACCTCAAAGCTCAAACCCAAAGCCCTATACTCCCAAAGGTTTGTGCACTGGGAAGCAATACTATGGTTTGGGTGAGTTTCCACCACAGACCTTAACCCCTAAACCCTAAACCCTAAACCCCTCACCCCTAAAACCTAAACCCCTAAACCCCTAAACCCTAAACCCTAAACCCTAAACCCTAAACCCTAAACCCCTAAACCCCTAAACCGTAAACGTAGGAACTTACTTAGGGCCGTTTGGGACTGGTCACTCGCGCCAAAAACCCCCAAACCCCCCCAAATCCCGAGCCGCCAAACCTCAACGCTTGAAACCATGGGCCCCTAGTACGGGCCCTTAGCCTTGGGATCCTTATATACCTACTATATACCCTATGTAGACTCTTAAGGGTCCCTAGAACTCCCTCAAAAACGTCAAAAAGTCCATGTTAGGGGCCCATACTTCTAAGCTTAGACTGTCGGATAAAGGGCCCCAGAATGGATCATAAAAAAGCCTTTGGGTCGATATTAGGAGCCCATACTTCCAACCTTGGTAAACCACGGTTTGGGTTTAGGGTTAGGGTTTAGGGTTTAGGGTTTAGGGTTGCCCAGCCTTGGCCTTCATATCTTGCACGACCTGGCAAAGCAGCGATAATAGGCGCCAAAGCCCGAGAAATTCAGTTAGCTGAATGTTTTAGGGTTTAGGGTTTAGGGGTTAGGGGTTTAGGGTGTAATTTTTGAAAAGCTGCTGCGAGCTTTAGAGCTGCAATGTAAAGTATAATGGGATTTTAAGCGGTTTAGGACTGTTTAGCTCCTCATTACTAGACTGTCAGTGCCCCGAAAGTCCAGGTACGGAGTGACCTTAGGGATCAAGGCTATAGAAGACACCAATACTCGTCCCTGCAAGCAAGAATCCTAGGGGAACTACAGATTAACCTTGGGATTTTATCGGCCCAAAGAAAAGTTAAAGGTTGCCGACACTGCTTCTACAAAAGGGTCTAGCTTGACCCCCTAAACCGCCGGGTTCTAGAGTCCTGCTCCGTGAAGCCCTGAATCTACGAACCCTTGTAACTTTGAAGCTGGCACTGCAGAAAAATCGTGTATAGTATGGTCATTGGACACAAACGCCCTCGAGTGTGAATCCTGAATGCCTTCGGGAGTACTCAAAAAAACAGCCGACATCCGAAGCTACGCCAATCCCAGTGACATGAAAACGTGATGCTTTGAAAGGCGGGGTTCTTAGAATCATTGGCTCTATACTGCTTGTTTACGTTGCCTTGACTGAGAAGCCTCGAAGCTTCCGCAGTGGGCGTTGGATGTTTTGAGGCTTTGTATGGCTCCATATGGGAGTTTCCGAAAATAGGGGTACCTTATTTTGGGGTCCTTATAATATAGGGATCCTACTATTTAGGGTACTATATTAGGGTCCCCTATTTTCGGAAACCCCCATATGGGGTTTATACACGTTCTGCAAGGGGCTTCATTATGTGTGCAGGGTGTCACAGAGTTTCTACAAGGGCCTGCAAGGGTGATAGATCTTTGCCTAAGGGTTTAAGGGCTTCTGTGTTACGGTTGAAGATACAAATCCTGCAAGACCCATAATAAGGGATATACCATAGTTCCCATAGTTTAGGGTCCTTAAGGTAATGCAGGATTTGCATCATCAACCGTAGTGTTGGGCTCTGGGCACTCTAAACTCTAAAACCTCCAGACCCAGAACCCTAAACCCTACCTTCGAATATGGTGGGCCCTAAACCAAAAACCCAACCTCTCTCTTCTTCAACCGAGCCACAAAATGTTCAAACTTTCTAAGATAGAGCTACGATATAAGGCCAAAAAGTTTAAAGTTCCCACGTTCGCTATCTAAGACCTTACAACAGGGTGAACGCCACATCGCTTCGGGCCTCTTCAGCAACCGCACCAAATCTACGATCCACGCTTGCTTGTTCGACCTGCATCAGATAAGGCTTAGGGTCTGAAGTTCGATGCCGCTTTGAAGGTTTAAGGCTATAACCTTAAAGGGAACTCCAGAAAGTTGGAATATGGTTTCAGGGTAGGATACCTTATAATTTACCATAAAGGTTTAGGATAATCATATTCCAACTTTCTGGCTTTTACTTTACTTATAAACGACTTACTAGGTCCCCTGCCCCTCCAAGTGGACCCTAAACCCTAAACCCCACATATCCCTTTAAGGAACCCTGTATAGACCCCTTTAAGGAGCCCCTAAGAGCCCTTACTAAGTCCCCTGCCCCTCCAAGTAAACCCTGCTCGATCCCTTGATTCAGGTTTAGGGCCGGGTAGTCCTTTGAAGCGAAGCAGGCGGGGCCCTTGGTCCTTTAGTTAGGATTCCCTTGTTACAGAAGGTTTGGGCTTAGTGTTTAAGGTTGAAGGTTTAAGGTTTAGGGTTTACTGTTTGGGCCCTACATTCTAGGTCCTTCGATAAAACTCCCTTGTTCGGTTTAGGGTTTAAGGTTTGGGGCTTAGGGTTTGGGCCCTACATCTCAGGTCCTTCAACAAGACTCCCCTTGTTCGGTTTAGGGTTTCGGAATCAACTTGGAGGGGCAGGGGACTTAGTAAGTAGGTTATAAGGGGACTTAGTAAGGTTAGTAAGGGCTCTTAAAGGGCTCCTTAAAGGGATCTATAGGGTTCCTTAAAGGGGATCTATGGGGTTTAGGGTTTAGGGTTTAGGGACTTAGTAAGTAGGTTATAAGTGGAGTTATAAGTACCCTAAATGGACTTACCCCAGATATGACCCTACTTATAAACGACTTACTACGTCCCCTGCCCCTCCAAGTAGACCCTAAACCCTAAACCGCATATATCCTTTTAAGGCTCCCTATAGATCCTATAGATCCTTTCGGGTTTCGGATTCAAGGGTTCGGGGGCCTCTGAAAAGACAACACGTACGGTGCCGGGCCTCGGCAATACTGGGTCTGCCTTTTCAGGCGCCTACTTGGGGGTAGGTTTCCTTAAAGGGGTCCTTGAAGGGATCTATAAGGGTTCCTTAAAGGGGTCTATAGAGTTTAGGGTTTAGGGTCTACTTAAAGGATCATGGGGCTAAGTAACTGGGGCTATAAATAAGCTAACTAAACTTTTAATTACTTAGAACCCCAATAACCTTACTAACTAAGTCCCATGATCCTCCAAGCAACTGTGTAGCTCATACCGCAAGCTCTACAGACTTGAACCCTTAGCAGCAAGACGTCTGCACACCGCCTTTGCTGGAACTCACATTCCAATAGCAGAACTGTAAGCTGTTGAAGCTTGTATACCTAGCCGGTGTTTAGAAGTTAAAACTTTGCTGGGCCGAAGAAGAAGGTAGAACTCAAATAACAAGCATGTCAGAAACCCTAAACCCTAAACCCGAAAACCCCTAAACCCTAAACCCCTGAACCCCAAAAAACTTTTGAGATAAGCAACGCACTTCAGCCTGGGCAGCTCTAGGCTTGAGGGCTTGGAGTTTAGGGTTTAGGAGTTTGAAGGCTTGGGGTTTAGGGGTTTAGGGTTTAGGTTTAGGGTTTAAGGGTTTAGGTTTAGGGTTTAGGGGCTTAGGGGTTTAGGGGTTTAGGGTTTAGGTTTAGGGTTTAGGGGTTTAGGTTTAGGGTTTAGGGGTTTAGGGGTTTAGGGTTTAGGGTTTAGGGTTTAAGGGTTTAGGGCTTAAGGGTTTAGGGGTCTAGGCCTGATGGCTTGCGGGATTTTTGGAGTTTGGGGTTTAGGGTTTGCCTGAAGGATCATGGGACCTGGTAACTGGGGCTATGAATGGGGTAACTATACCTATAAATAGTTCTAACCCCACTTAATGGACGTATAACCTTACTTACTCAGTCCCATGATCCTCCAAGTGGGAGATTTACAGTTCAGGGATTCGGGTTCTGAGGCGTTCTGTCACACAGGGCCCTGAAAAATTCTAAAAGCGCTTCGGGGCATGTTAGAGTAAACCGTACATGGAGTTTCAGGAATTTTTAACCATATATTCAGATCCGGATATTGGGATCTTCGTCTGTCTCGAAAGTCCTGTAGACCCCCAAAAAACTTGAGTTCCGAAGCGAAGCCTTGTTCATAAGGCATGGCAAAACGCTTTGGAGATGCTTGCATATGGCTAGTTGTCAAAGTCAGGGTCCCTTTTGGGTACCTTAAATATTAGGTGCCGTATTATATAGGGACCCCAACAGGGACCATAATTTTGACAACCACCCATATGCTGGATTAAGAGGCAGGTTAGCACTACCCTAATCAGGATCTTCATCTGCTGATTCGTCTTCATCACTGTTCTCACGGGAACATTTGGGGCGACACTTGCTGCCATGACCTAGAAACAGAATAACCAAACCCTCAAACAGGAGAGGACGTTGTGCGTTCACTTCTCCCGTTAGATTCCGCTCAGAACCCTGAGAAAGCCCTCAAAAACCACTCTCTACTTAAAGGTTCATGTGGATTTAGCACGGTTGATATTCGGGTACTTATTAGACGCACTTCTAGCACCAGTTAAGGTACTCATGACCTGACATACTAAGTCCCATGAACCTCCAAGAAGAACTGGAGATCCCTCATAAAACTTTTCAAGAGCCCTGTAAGGAACCCTTTAAGATCCTAAGTCCCATGATACTTCAAGCAGGTCGCATTGCTGCCTACAGGGACAACTCTTCGATTCTGAAAGCTTGAACTTTCGTGGTTCGGGATCTTGCCAAGAGTTTAGAGCTTGGGTGTTAATTGGGTTTCCCTAAACCCTAAACCCTAAATCCTAAACCCCCGCGCTTCGGGCTTGCGGTAGGCGGGTTTTTGGATTTGGGGTGTGAGGTTTAACGCTTCCGTTCCGGGCTTAAGGCTCTCAGGTGTCGGTATGCTTTGGTTTAGGGTTTAGGGTTTAGGGGCCAAGGCACACGTGCTCCAGCAAGGTCGTCTCTCCGTTGACGGCCTGGGAGGGAAGGGCTGTCAGATTCTACACAAAAGACAAGACTGTAGAGTTAGACTAGGGGTTCAAGTTCTTATAGCCAATCTTGTGTAAATGTGCCACTGAAGGAACCGTCAGCCTTATAGTACTGGCTGTCGAGGCATGCTAAGCCGCTGAGAATGTTAATAAACCCTAAACCATAAGCCCTAAACCCTAAACCCCAAGCCCTAAACCCAAAACCCTAAACCCCAAGCCCTAAACCCTAAACCCCAAACCCCAAGCCCTAAACCCAAAACCCTAAACCCCAAGCCCTAAACCCTAAACCCAAACCCCAAGCCCTAAACCCTAAACCCCAAACCCCAAGCCCTAAACCCAAAACCCTAAACCCCAAGCCCTAAACCCAAAACCCTAAACCCCAAGCCCTAAACCCAAAACCCTAAACCCCAAGCCCACAGCCTGCGATCCCCTCAACTTAGAACCCCAAAGCTAGCCGACCTAGCAGGTCGTTTACGAGTTCCCAGAGACTCCAATATCCCTTAATTAAGGAATATTCCTTAAATCATATTAGGGATCCTACTATAATTTAAGGTATATTCCTTAATTAAGGGGTTTTGGAGTCTCTGGGTTGCCTCCCAAGCCTTGTATGGTATGGTCTTTGGCTGAAAAGCCTTCAAATATGAGACCTCCAGAGCCTTAGGGCTTTCGGTCAGGCCTCTTCGACGCGGCTTGTGGCGAAAACCGTGAACTGTCCCCTAAACCTTCAACAAGACTTCTGGTTCTATGCAGTAACCAGGGTCGTTATCAGGGATTCTCTACTTACGTGTATGCCCAACAAAAAGTACTTACTACCTTACCTACTAAGTCCCGTGATCCTCTAAGTGGGAGTTTCCGAAAACAGGGGACCCTAATATAGCACCCGAAATAGTAGGACCCTTCTTATAAAGACCCCAAATAAGGTACCCCTCCGCTTCGGAAACTCCCAAGTTAGGGACCAGGGAGGCCAAAGGGGCTGTAGTCCCGCCGCTCGAAAACCGCAGACCTTCGCCTAAAACCAAAGCCCAAAGCCCTGAACCCTAAACCGTGAGCACTAATGTAGGAACCTGATTAAGAAACCTTGGGCCTTTATTAGGGTTCCTTAATATGATGAATCCTACTATTTTCGGGTAAAAGGCCCAGGGTTTCTTAATGAGGCTCCTACATTAAACCGTAAGCACTGAGCCCTAAGCCCTAAACCCTCAACCCTAAACCCTAGGTAGAAGGAACCGTTTCGTGGTTAGAGACTGTTCTGTACTAGTCTGAAGCGACCTAAAGACCCTTTGTTGCAGCGGTTAAGTGCTTGGGCTTGAGTGCGGGCCTTGGGGCCCATTATACTATACAACAATATTAAGGAACCCCAAAGTTTCAGCCCTGGAAGAAGTACAATGTACAAGTTAGCAAGACTTGAACATGCAGCTAAGACGTGTCATGCCGTGTCATTCCCAAACCCCTAACTCGAAACCATCGAAACCATCAACCCTTCGACCCTAACCCCTAAGAGCTATAAGACCTAAACCCTTAACTAACTCGAACGCCCTGCACTGTGAACCCGTAAACTCCTAAACACCCAATGCTATATGACCTAACCCCTTAAGTCTAGTCCCTTAAACCACCTTAAAATGAACAACAGAGCAACATGCAGCATGAATGAGATCGGAAACGTGCATCCGTAGTCCTAAACCACCAGCTCACGACGTCTAAAGCGGTGCTTTCGGTTTTAAACCTTGGGGTTTAGGGTGTAGGGTATAGGGCCCAAGCTCTAGACCTCAGACTCCACCTTGACCCTGAAATAAAACCGACGCGACTACAAGTGAACCAAAACCTTTAAACCTTAAAGCCAGACATTCCCGAGGCCTCGTAACCTTGTAACCCCTTAGCCAAGAAAACACTAGACCTTGGGCACTGCCCCCCATACAACAACCGGGCTACCATTCAGGTCCTGATATATCTATATTATGAATATTATCCAACTGTTACTGAGTGGGGGCAGTACCGAAACTAAACCCAAACCCTGAGAACCGCCTAATCCTGGAATCCGTCAGCCTCAAAACTCTGAACTTGAACCCGCCCCAAATGCACTGAAATCCCAAATCCTCGAAAACCACCTCAAAACCCTAAACTGAAACCCTAAACCACCGAAATAACATTAAAACCCCTACAACCCTAAACTAAATCCCTAAACCCCTAAAAACTCGAAAACCCCTAAACTCAAGCTAAGGGGCGAAACTCGTCCCGTAGCCCTCGTCCAGACCACCGGGCCCCTCCCAGCTGACCACCAAAGGCAGCGCGGGGGCCTGGCAAGCTTAGGGGTTTAGGGGTTTAGGGGTTTAGGGTTTAGGGGTTTAGGGTTTAGGGGTTTAGGGGTTTAGGGTTTAGGGTTTAGGGTTTAGGGGTTTAGGGTTTACAGCAGAAGCCTAAAAGTTGGAAACCCGATAGACTCAATCCCTAAGAGCAAAGCATAAGGAATCCCAGCACGATTTGTCCTTTTTTTTTTTGTGAGCATGAGTCCAGGGGACGCGCTCCTCGCAATGAATTCAGAGAGTGAAACGAAACAAAAGGGGAGTCGCCGCACAGCTCAATCCGTAGGAGAGCAAATGCGATCGGTCTCAACCCTAAAACCGCAAGAGTCGAGCCACGCCGGGAGAGGGTCCAGGCAACTCTGGGCAGTGGCAGATAGGCGGAGGACGACGGGGTGTGACTGGGATTGCTGAAGAGCGGTCCCGATGGCGTCACACGTTGCCTCAAGCCAATCGACTTGTTTGCGGGCAGCGGCTAAGGGCACGCTTGCACGAAAAGGATATACGAAGTCCTTTAGGGGCGGCTCTCCGATGTGGGTGGTGAGCACAGGCCCAGAAAGCACAAAGACAAGCTGGCCTGGACCGGCAGGGGGCAACGACGGGCACACCACCGCAGGCAAAGGAGGGTGCTTAGGCGCCCGGAAGTCTTCACACCATAACTCTGGGTCGAGCAGCAGACGGACATCGGCAGAGATGGCAGAAACAGTATCTGGATCTTGCAAAGGTCCAGGTGCTTGCTGCCACGCATCGAGAGTGTTACGCAGAACGTCGAGCGGCTCGATGTACTCGACAACCGCACTCCAGACCTGTTCCTGAGCTGGTGAATCTAGCCCTTGCAGCACGGCAAGCAAGCCAGGGTGGGCGCATGCAGGGTCAAGGTCAAGCTCAACAAAGCCCCAATCGCCCGGAGTATGCAAAGGTGGGGCCTCAGGGTGTGCATTCGGCGTCGGAGCCGAAGCAGGGCGGAAAGTCCCCCATCCACGGCGGCACTTGGCAGAGGCACCCAAATGGCGCTTAAGCCGCCCGACATTGGCATAAAGCTTGCCACACGCTCGGCACAGCGGTTTGTCACAACCGGCTACAAGAAGCGTAGACGGTGCACGGTAGCCGTGCAACCGCGAGGCATGACAAGCCCAAGCGGTCCGGCTGGGGAATGCGATCTTGCACTGGAGGCAAGCATCAGGGTACTGCAAGGCAACAGCGGTAGGAGCAGGATCACATCCCGCCAGCTGTTCGAGCGAGCGTCGAACAGCTTGGAGGGCCGCAATGCAGGAAGTACGGGCAATTTCGAGGCCACGAGCGCGCTTAGCAAACACCCGGAACATGTGTGGGCGCTGCCGCATCAAATGCTCCCATTCGGGCCAAGCAGAGTCAGGGTCCCTCAGATTGGAGGTTGCACTGACCCACCGATAGACCCAGAAAATGGCCTCACGCAAGTGAGCAATGTACGGCGGGTCGCGCCGGATTAAAGCCCATAACTGGGTCGGGGCCGCGTTCACAAGCTGGAGCAAATACCGGGCGCGCTCGGTCAAGAGCAGAATCTCAGGGGGTGGCTGGCCGATTAGAGCGCAAATTGTCGCATGGGTGAGGTGTTGGTCCCCACCGTGGGGTATCGCCAACGTCTGCCGGTATAGGGCCATGACAGTCCTAAAGAAGAAGGCATGTTCTCCCTTACTTAGGGCAGGCCAAGCACCAGCAGCGAAAAGGAGTTTGGTCATAACATGAGTGGAGAGGAGCAGGCCCCTTCGGCGCAAGGCAATCCGGCCCGTTCGGAAAACCTTGGTGCGCCCCTGCTGGAACGCTGCCCACGCATGTGAGGCACGGTGTCTCAACTCAGTCATCAAGGAGTTAGCAGAGGTAACTTTGACTCCTAGATGACGGTATGAGGTTACGAGAGGAAGCGAGGCTGCACCCTGCTCCTCTCGCATAACCTGGAGGATGGGCTTGGCTCCAAAGAGGGTCTTTCTTACGTGACGTGACCCTGCTCCACGTGGCACCACAATCGCAGCAGTTTTGGCAGGGCCGAAACTTAGGTCATAGCCGTGAGCATAAAAGGCATCGGCCAATAGGCCACACTCAGATGCTGCAGCGAAGGCAGCATCTTTCGCAGCTGGGACGATAATGCATTTGGCAAGATCATCTGCCCAGACAACGTCTGAAAGAACGGTGGCTGCGCACCATTGCGACGGGTCCGTGGTGGGCGGTGACAGGTCAAAGCGCCCATCCCAATGCACGACAGGTGCATGTTCAAAATGGCGACCGTGTGCATCAGCCTCGGGCCTCGCAGAATCCCTCCAGTGAAGCATACGAGGTATGGTGACTCCGAAGAACAAGTCAGCAAAACTCGATCCTGGTCGCGAGCCCTGTCGGGTGGCGATCGGCTGCGAATCTCCCGCCAGGCACATCCAGGTGTTGCTGTTAAGTTCGGCAGTGAGAGTCTCAATCCACGGCGAGGCACGGGCTTGTGTCATCGCAGTGGGTTGCTGAAGGGCCTCCTCAAGATGCTCACGGCCAGCAGGACAGGAGCTATGCTCAGACCGCCCAGAGCCCTGTTTACGCGCGGTGAGAGCTCTAACCGCTGAATAGTAAGCGGAAGCGTCATCGGCGAAGAGCACAATGCTTGTCGTGCCTGCATTGGCACAGAACCTTTGAAAGGCTCGCGTGAGGTGGGAGCCCAGCACGACTGACGTCCGCTTGAGGCCACCAAGCTGCGCCGGAGCGGCATTGCTACTGAAGACCTCGTATAAACCCGGCCGAAAGGCCTTGTGCAGGAATTTAGCGAGGGTAGGTAGGAGCATGATGGCCCTGTAACTGGCGCACTGAGAGGTCTCGCCTTTGCCCTTGTAAAGTTTACTAAGGGTCCCTCCCTTAAACCCTATGGGTTCCTCACAGGTGAGGCCAACCTTCAGGAGGAGGGGCATGAGGAGACGTGCAAGGCTGAGGGGAGCAGCATGCCCAATTTCTGCTGGCAGCCCATCAGGGCCCGCGGCTTTACCTTTACACGAAGAAGCGATGACTTGCAAGAGCACGTCCGGGGAGGGCATTTCGCTCAAGAGGGGAGGGCCAGCAAAACCGCTAGTGGAGGCGGGGAGACTGGGCAGGTCCTCAGGTCTGACATTGACCCCGTCTTCCTGGTGCCGAAAATGCTCCCTCCATCGGAGGACGATTTCATCGGGGGTCCTACAAAAGCTGCCATCCTCCTTCTGTAGCATAGGCAGCACATCTGGGCGGAAAGGCTTCCTTCTCCTGAGGCCCATAAGGCGCTGGATGGCCTTATTGGCATGCGGGTCGTCGCGTTGCACCTCATCGGCAAGTCCACTGAAGTGCGCAGCACGATCCTGCTTACAAGCGGACTTCAAACGGCCAGAGACGACGCCAAGGTGGCTGCTGTACAGAGCCCCTGCCACATGAGCTTCCCTGGTCCAAGCGGAATCAAGCATTCGCAGGAGGATGCGGCCATCGGCACATGCCCAGGCTTGGAAGGCTGCTGCCAGGAAATGAAAGCGCAAGGCGCTTTTGACACGGGTGCACGCTTTTCGTAGGCGCGCAACTTCGGCGTGCAGAGCCCAAGTATCATCAGTCAGGTAAGACCGGTGGCGGCGCCTTTGGCAAGGAGGAAAGGCGGTGGATAGAGCATCCTGAAGGTACTTCACCAGCGTGGCAGCATGGGCGTGAGGGGAAGCATCCCACGGGATCAGGGGGGCGTGCTGAAAAACACGTTCAACCGCAGCCCGCCCCTGCGGGGTCAGCATAGCTCGCCCGTCAAAACGTCGCTGCCTTACAGATCGAGTGGGGCCACGGAGATTGATGGATAGATCAATCTGGCAGCACGTGGCAATATGATCAACATACGCCTGACCCGCATGCAGGGTCGAGTCGGTCCATGTCCTGACACGGCCGTTCTGCCAGACTGTCGGGCAAGCGACAAAGTCAATCCTGGTCAGGGCACCATTCCGCTTCTGGATGTAAGTTCCAGAAGGACCACTGTGGCAGCAAGAAAAGGTGCATGGCAACCACAGTTGTTGAGAGCACAGGAAGGATGCAAAAAGGGCCCCTGAGTCATCTTGGGCATCAGCAGCATGATCCCCTACCGCAGCTGAGAGGACAGAGCCAACAGAAGCATTCATGTCCCCTCCGAGAAGGATCGGCGCAGAGTGGGCATGAGTGTTGCAAAGCCGGTGCGTTTCAGCCCACCAGTCAGAAATCACGGTAGCTTCACACGCCCGGTGCGGCGCATGAACGGAGGCAATGAGAAGGCTGAACCCCTCCTGCCGGAATAGCACAAGAAGGCGTCGCGGGTCGCGATGCACGACAATGCATGCCTCGGCAGCGAGGCGCAGTCGCCTTTTACCTTCACCAGGTGTGAAGAGAGGATGCCCATCAAGCAGCCAGACCTCTACGCCTAAGGTACCGTTGGTACCACCTGAGGCGTATCGAAGATAACCCTGTGTCCGGAGGGTGCCCTCTTCGGTACGTGCCTCCTGTAAGAGTGCAACATGGACGCCGGCATCTTTGAGGCAATTCGCAAGGAGAGTGGGTCGTGCGGCTTGGAAGGCAAGGCCTTCGGCAATGGCGCCTTCAACAGGTCGACTGTTGAGAGAAAGCACGTTAAAGGAGCACACTCGCAAAGAGAAGGATCCCCAGCAACCGGCACCCTCGCCAGCCGGGGGGGCAGAAGCTGGCAAGAAGGGTGCGACGAGCTGAACAGGCTCAAGCCCTAGGGAATCGCGACAAGGCGGCAACTCTGTAACTGCCGAAGGCGGGTATGCCGCATTCCCAGAGAGGCGCGCGATAGCAACTGCCGCCCAGCTCAGAGGAGGGCCACCTTGATACCACCATGGTCGATTCCCATCGACTGCCCAGGCTAGGTGACCACAGGGGCGCCCCTTGGCGGCTCCACGGGCAAGGCAATCGGCAAGTTCATTGCCCAGGCAGCCCTGATGGCCGCGGACATGGCTTGCTAGGACCCCTCGAGGAGAAAATTCTCGACAGAAAAATCCAAGGCTGCGCAAGACAGCGGCGGCTCCGGTAGGCGCACCAACATAAGTCCCCTGAAAAATCCCAAGGGCAGACAGGCAGTCGGACCTAAGGACAATTGCCAGGTGGTGGAAGTTTGTGACGCTTAACCATGCAGCGGCTATCAAGGCAAAACATTCCGCGAGGAAAGCTGAGGGCTTGTCTTCAGGAAAGGCCCAAGCTGGTACCTTCCCCGACAAGGCTGCACAAAAGCCTGAAACTGGGGAAATGAAGAGACAAGCCCATGCACATGTGTCTTCAGGATCGGGCGCTGAGGTATCAAAGGAACCGTCGGTGAAGCAGTGCAGCTCGTCGGATAGAAAGTCGGAGGGCCGAAAACGCAACTCACGACATGCTTGCAAGTCGCGCTGGCTGATTGCAAAGGCAAGGTCCCATCCGTCGCCAAAATGGCAAACCGGTTGCAGAAAATGCAGTAGCTGGCCACGTGTACATGGAAAACGGTAAGGACCAAGATTAAGCTGCTCGTGCTCAGGCTGAAGCAGTAGATCGGGTAGGTCAGCCGGGCTCCAAGGGTACCTTGGGAGGGCCTCGTCTAGGTGCTCCCAGAAGTCCCAATGCTTGGTCTTACCGTCATCATGGGAGGGTAGAGCTGTGCACAGAGAGATGCGCCTACGTGGGGCAGCAGCTTCGTTGGTCCGAAAATGTTCACAGCATGCCTCGAGGAGGGTAGCCGCCAGCATAAAGGCCTGACAGTCAGGTGCACAGGAGCTCTCCCAGAGGAGAGTGTATAAGGGCCCAAGTTCAAGTTGAGACACAGGGTCCTCCTCGACATGGGCTCCGAGCGAGATTGGCAATCCTGCAACATCAGCAGCTGGATGCGGCAGAACACGGTGATGCACCGGTACGGCAAAGGCAGCACGACACGGGGTTGGAATCGGTCGGGCAGACCTTGGGCCACTATGTGCACCTTCTGCAGAGCAGGTGCTAGCCAGAGGGGACAGATGAGTGGCACTCTCTTGGGACTGCAAAAGGGCCGGCAGAGCTCGCGCTGGCAAGTGGCCAGGGAGCTGCACTGCGGTGCCAGTCTGGACACAAAGACTAACAACGAAGGCAGCAAGCTTGACGCAGGGCGAAAGCACCGCAACAACCGGTCGCCGACGGCCCCGTCCCCCAAGATCAGCAGCACAAACGATGCCATCTGATAGAGGGTCAGGACTGCGATGCGTAGCAGGTGTCAAATCAACAGAGGTAGGGCCGCAGGCGCCCAGGCGGAGGGCATCTTGTGCATTGCCAGCGCAGCCACACATGCTGTTCAGAACTGCATACCGGTAAGGCTGATGGGAGCGACCGTTGTGATAACCCGGCCGGCTGCTCCTGGGGGGGGTGCCGAGAGAGGCACCAGACGACCAAGGGCTGCCATCGCCAGTGCCGGGAGGCGACTCGTCACCAGGGTGGGATGCTGCGCCCGAAGTTCAACGGTAAAGATTTGCCCAGCTGTGACTCGGTGCGGGCCTGGGCCCGCAGGTCGCCCCGGGATTGTGACTTCCCAAAAGAAGGGGGCAAATTCACCGAGTTCGGCCTCAAGAGAGTCAAAGTCGAGGTAACCCGTGGTTTCCCGATGCTGCCATCCTTGCAACAACGGCCGGCAATCGAGGACAACTGCGCAAATTGTCTCCCCATCGGGGGTCAGACGGCAGCTGCCGACAGCAAGGACAGCACGACAGATGTGCCCGAAGAGTGCGCAATCATAGATCCTGGGGCTAGTCGGCGTTACAAGGCGCGACTACGCTAGGGGGAAACGCTGTAGTGGGAGTCCAAGAAAGTGCTTGGCGTAGCAAGGACTTGAGAAAGAAGGCGGCTGGCCGGGGGCTTGCAGAGTCACATATAGTGAGACACTGTCCGGGAAAGATCCGGCATTCTGAATGGTCATGAAGCGGTTCGGCCTCAAAATAGTCCCAGACATGGACCTGCGAGGCATCAGGGATACCAGCTAACCAAAGGACAGTGTGCCTGGAGACGAAAATCGGACATTGAACCGCAAAGAGACGGCCGTCGTGGGACCTTGCATCAATGATGACAACTGAAGCCTGTGGGTCCCACAAAGGGAGTGCGAGGACAAGACCCCATCGATCGGAGGGTTGGGGTAAAGCCGGCACAAGAATCGGGAACCACCGCTGCCTGTGGGGGTCACGCTCGGCCTGCAGCAATTGAAGCACATAATCCTCCTCAGAGGGAATGTGAGCCGACACAGACAAGCTTTCTTGCGTATACCCCGGCGTAAGAATCGCAAAGGAGAGCGGGAGAACGACCGGGAAATCGACCTCTTCATCAGCCGGCATGGGTGGCGCAAGAAGGAGGCGCTCGTCCACACTGGATGCGTCGGCATAGCGCCACGGAAGTCCAATAGCGCGCGCGAGGTCGCGCAAGTGCGGCAGAGCGTCGGTCGGGAAGCCGCCGCCAACAGGAGGCTCTACTAAGAGCTTGGTTGTGAGTCGGGGTGGCATAGGAGGGACCGCCTGGGATAAAAGATCCTCGGCGTCGGCGCGGAGGGAGAGCTCATAGCAAGGAGCTCCATGGCAGGGTTCCTGGCGGCACTAGCGCAGGAAGGCCAGGAATGGCGCAATCAGGTGAGGCACAGACAGCCTGAACGTAGGGCCCTGCATGAGCTCTACCAGCAGCTTCAACGCACTCAGAGAGGGCAGGTCCATTGTTTCCGCCTCCGACATGATGAGTCAAGCCGCCAAGTGCAGGAGTTGGGTCATTCCGAGGGGACCTGCTGCGGGGCTCAGAGGAAGGGCCTGAAGACCTATCACTGCTGGTGTCACCCTCGGAAGACTCGTTATCACTTGTCGAAGCACTCGAAAGGGCAGGGCTGGACACTGAATCATCAGGGTGATCGATGAAGACAAAGTCAACTGTGATACAGATGCCGTCTCGAAGGTCAAAGAAGGCCTCTTCCTGCACGGTGACAGGGTCAACGCCGGAGAAAGCAGTGTGCAGGCCAAGTGGGCACAAATGCGCGTAACGTGCAGTGAGCTCACGAACAGGCAGCATTTTGGCAGTCTCAAGGCTCCACACAAGGCCTTGGAGGATAGGGCGTTGATCGAAAGCAACAGCGATTGGTAAATCCCCCAACTCGCGATACCTGGGTATGCGAGTGGTGGCAATGACGACGGCACTGGACCCCCACCCTCGTGCATCGTGGTCAGCAATCGGTGGGCTGACTGGTTTGAGGGCAATGAGAGAGGGGTCACATTCAAGGGCAGCCGCTGCCGCAGAACTGCGGATGGGTACATGCACACTTTCGACATCAAGACGAACATGTAAGTCATCAGACAGAAGCCAGACAGCCGGCCTGTATGAAAATGGAAGCTGTGCTTGGGCATTCCACATAGCAGCGGTCCGAAGCATTTGCTCAAGCAGGAGGCCCTACACCGGATCAGAAGGGAAGGGGGAGATACGGATGACAGCCCCATCGAAAAGCCTGACAGTTTGGCCATGGTGTAAGACCCCATCGGCTGTTGACGTAGCAACAAAGAGCCAAGCACCGGCGCCACAGCCGGCAGCGACTAGGAGGTCCTCACGCGTGAGCTCGTCAGGGACCTGCTCAACGAAGAGCTTCCCACTCCAGCGTCTGCAGTCAAACAAGACAGCGACAAGGCCGTTAAACCATCGTGGCATGGCTACGAGTACAGCGTACTCCCTGGAGGGTTGGGGAATCACCGGGAAGACTCGCGGGAACCTGCGCCTTTCATCCCTGTTGCGGACAGACTGCACCTCCCTGATGGCGAAGTCAAGATCACATGGTGCACGCAGGGCCAGAACACTGCAATCAGGCTTATAGCCCGGTGTCATGACGACAAGGATGCCGTGGATGAAAGCAGGCGGCGGCTGCTCAGGAATAGGCTCAGGCCGCGGCCGAAACCAGTCGGGGAACTCGGGCCGTTCCAGCTCTCGGTCGCCACGAGCGCGTGGCGGGTGCCCAGCAAGGTGGCGGTCGACGATTGTCGAGGCAGCATACGAGCCACCGGGGCCTGCATCAGGGACGCGGTGCGAAATCGGCCCTTTGGAGGCGGCGGCAGCTTCATGATCTGCCCATACAAAAGTTGATACTCCAAGGGCAGGAGCAAGAGTCGCAGCCGGTGGGCCTCTATCGATCTTAACACCGGTAATGCTGGCAAGGATTCCACTAAGGGCATTGGGTTTGCAAAGAGCCTCAATGGAAACAACAAAAGGTGTGAAGCTGCAGCGAGCCCACAGCGGGACAGCGAGCCCCCCAAAGCCCTGCATGCAAGTAGTCAGTGCAGCGGCGGGAAATGAGCCCTGGAAGGAATGATCAGTCGAGGGGGAGACGCCCTTGTCGCCTCGAGGCCTCGAACGGGACCTCGTGCTGGCATCGTCGGTGGGGGGCTCTTCCTCCTGAGCGCCCTCACCAGCTTCGCCTTCACCACCTGAGCCGTCAGAGGAGTCACCGTCCTCGGATGAGGAGGAGAGGGCATCAAAATCGGGATCGATGACTTCGTTAGGGAGGAACCCGAAAACTAGGACATCACCCGACTTAACCGAAAGGTGTTGATCCCTCTTGCGACCTCCTTGGACTACCAGCCGCCATCCCTGAGGTGCCACAGTTGGGGATAGACGCTGTAGCTGGTCGTAGGTCAGACGTGTGCCAGGCAAGCGGACAAACTGTGGTGAGCCTGCAACCTGGCGGAGATCAAGCAAGAGCACGGTATCTTGCGTGCCATCAGGATTCTTCTCAACGAGCGCAAGGACGCTGCGCACATTGGACCCCCGGTACGCCAAGTGCTCAAGCAGGCCGTCGGGCGGGGCATGGAAAGTCACAGAGTTTCGGTCGACACCAACGAAGGCAGCAGCGGCCGTATCAACCGATCCCAAGGCCGGATCGTACCTACTAAATAAGAACCTGCCTCCATGATGCAGCAGCATCACAGCACGTGGCTGGCGCACAGTAGGGAAGGCGGGAGGAAGCGGCCATGCATCGCTTCGCTGGAGTCGCCATTGGGTCCCTGGCATGTTGTCCGGTTCCTCATCGTGACGCAGAAGCTTGAGGACGTCACCGTTATTCAACCAAACGGGTTCATCGTCACTGACAGGGGTAAGGCTGTCACCTATAAAGAACCTGCACCCTGCCGGCATAGAAAACAAGCCAGCCTCACGCAACATCTCACTCCGAGTCGTGGGTCGAGTGAGGTAACAAGCCGTGATTGGCCCCTGAGTATCGGGCTGCATGCGACTCAAATCGAGCACAACTGCAGTGAGACCGGCATACGTCGCCCACTCAGGATAAACCAGGAAGACCAAGCAAGATCTCCAAGGTTGCACACTTGCAGCAATCAAGGAGTCGCTAAAAGCAAGGCGCAAAGTGTCGAGCCTCCTGGCAACTAGGCGTTCAATATCTCTTTGCTCACATGGCAGCTGAGCATCAAGTTCCAGGCACTCGGGCGCAAAGAAAGGAGACACGACATATGCCCCGATTCTGACTGTAGTGGTTTCGGCGGCAACCGGGACGACGAGTGGTCGGACCTCAGGCGGAAGCGGGTCAGGATAGCCTTGGCCTCGCATCCATGGCCATCCAGCAGGATGAGCTGGCATCCCCTCAACAGGCTCATCCTGGAACAGGTGAGGGGGCATGGCATATGCTGGCTCAGCTAAAAAGGCAGCCCAAAGAGCACCTAACAGCATCCACCAAGGGCGCCGATGGGTTGAATGGCGTGCCCAAACAGCCTTGGACCGCCCGATGGGTCGCCTGATTAATTGCCAACCAGGCCGGGCGCCGGGCAAACCATCAACCGGGAGCTGCCATCTCGGGGAGCAACAGCTCCCGAGCGGAACCAGAACAGAGAGACGCATGTGAGTTCTCTCATACAGTGCTGCAGCCACATGCACGGGCATGCGGGAACGAGAGGGCAGTAGCAAGAACCGACCAAGCAGCACAAGGAGGCATGCACCGCCGGCAATGGCTACTTCGTGAACACTGCCGGCAAAATCAGCAAAACCAACACCCTGCTGCAACACAACTCCACATGCCAAAACACAGGCGAGGGTACGACATTGCAGTGGGCCGGTCGTACTGGCAGGGCCCTTCAGAATGTCAGTGCTAGGCAAAGCACAGATGCTGGCGAGCCAACTGCAAGCTAAACCAGATGCCCTGGCACCAACAGAGTCGGGCGACCGACCCTGGCCTCTTGCACGTCCACAGAAGGAGCTGGGAGCAAATGCTGAGGCCAAAAGGGGTGCACACACACCCAACCCACAAACCCAAACTACGAAGGACCACAAACCTAAGGCGGGGTCAGTGGGAAGGGCCGTAAACCCACAGGAAAAAGGAGCCCAGAAGGAGCTCCAACAGCGCCTGATAGGTTCCTGCAAGTGCCATGCTGGCTGGCGAGTACTCTTGCAGCACCGCTGTTCACCTGGCGAAGCAACAGCAGGTGCAGGTGCAGGGCTAAAACCAAAAGCGCAGGGAACCAAAGGCACAAGGAAAGGGTACCTAAACCAAAAGGGGAAGGAACCTTGTGTGCCCGGGGGAGGAGCCTTGGCTTCAACAATGCAGCGAAATGCAGTCCAACATCTGGCTGTAGGCCCAGAGCCACCGATCCTACTATTAGGCGCCAGGAAATGGAACTGCTGGATTGGTACCGCGGACTGCGGTAGATACATCCCTGCTGCCAGATGTCTCGCGTATGGAAACATCCAGGCCAAAATGGGACTGAGAGGCAGGGGCACCTCGGCAATTGGCTGTGGAAGCAAAACTGGAGGCGACTGAGGAGGAGCAGTGGAACACGAGGTATGGCACGACGAACTGTACACCCGGCGGAACTTGGAAAGCGCCCTACAGAAGACTGTACAGCCACGATGCTCATATGTACAAGCAGCCGCCCAATGAGTCACGACGCCAGAAAACAGTAGAGCAGTACACCCACCGGCTTGCCCGAAGGGAGGCTCCAGTGTGCAGGCAACTGCGTACCCAAGCAGTTGCACAACACACGTCTCGCCCGCCAGGCGCCATGAGGGGTGCATGCTCACCGTGTTCCGCGAAGGTCTCATCAGGAAGCTGCGTCTGAGTGTCTTAGCCCGCTCCATCAGGGTGGGGGCTCGCCTGCTTCTGCTGCAGTGTTTGCCGTATCCAGCTCGTCGTCGGAGGCAATCGGAATCTGCAGAGCACCTCCATTGACAGTGGCAAAACCCGGAGCAGGAGGCGGCGTGGCAGGAGGTAGGCCGAAGGGCCGCATGGCCCCACCAGTGGCCTCGCTGCGCTTGTGCTCCACTCGTGATGCCAGAGAAGGCCCATCCTCCCGGCGATCCGCTGCATGCCCAGTATCGTAGGGTGCAACTCTGGCGGAGGGTGACGTCGCTGGTCCTTGTGCCTTGAGATAGGCGCCACTTGGCGATCCCTGATACGGATCGTTCAAAGCCGTCCCATAGTAAGGATCCACGCCAGAGGCCGCGCTGGCCGCACGCATTTCGTCCGCCATACGCAAGATCTGGGCCTGAATGCCAGGTGGAGCCAGGAGCCTAGGGGGTTTGCTGGTAAAGCCGAGCCTGGGGCAGGGGCTGCACACGGGGCCGGGGCTGAAGCATCCGTAACACCAAAACCCGGAGGAGCACCAGACATCAGACGGGGTCGTGAGAGGCCATCTGCTGCATCGGCATGCGTCATGGCTCTGTGCAGGACTCCATGTAGGTCTGATCCTTCGTCCTGCTCCCATGCCGAGCGGGTGCGCTCCCATTCCATCTCCTCGTTGGCCGCCATTTCGCTCTCTGCAACAGGCTGGCCATTCACAGTCTGACAAACTGCGCGGCGTGCAAGGTCCTGCGCATGAAGGGCTTCCGTAATATCCTTGTTCAAGCGTTCCAGGTTCGCCGAGAATTTTTTCTTTTCTCGCATGAAGGTCTGCTTCAACTCGGCATCGTAAGCCTCCCATTGACGGCGAGCACGGTCCCGGTTCGCAACGAGCCGCTGAACTCGCAGCTCGGCCTTCCTTGCAGTGTTCAGCACCGGCTGTAGACCCATCACCGAGCCCGGTGCTTCCTCCACAGCCACATTCGGGTGCTTGCCAGCTCCTTTCCCAGGTCCATTGGCTGGATCCCGGACATGCATAGACTGGTAAGTTGGGAATCTCGGTGGGGCCGGTTGCTCCTTCTCGGGCTTCCCCTTGTCTGCATAAGAGCGCCAGGGACGCTGAGCAGGCGAGTAAGCACCACGCCAAAGGTGGTCTCGCCATTGCGGATCTTCCACGTCCTCTCTGGCCTGCCCACCTCGCTTGGCCCTTGACCTGCCCATCGATGAGATGAGCCGTCGTCGGAACTCTGGACACGTCGCGTGGTGCGACGCCAGAGCCAATCGTCTGGACCAAGGGACGGGCCGTCCTTTCTGCAGGGCAGAGCGGGTGCGAGCTCGCGATGCTCGAGCACGCCGATGCCACCCAGGGGACCGCTTGTACAACCCAATGGCTCGGGGACAAGCTACGGCGCACTAAAGTGCGTGGGGCAAAAGTGTTCCGGACCTCGCCGGCGATCTCGAGCCCTGATTTGTCCTTAATTAGGTTTCCAACTTTTTGGAGTTTACAGTAGGGGTTTAGAGGTTTAAGGGTTTAGGGGTTTAGGGTTTAGGGGTTTAGGGTTTAGGGTTTACATAGGGGTTTAGGGTTTAGGGGTTTAGGGGTTTAGGGGTTTGGGGGTTTAGGGTTTAGGGGTTTAGGGGTTTAGGGGTTTAGGGGTTTAGGGGTTTAGGGGTTTAAGGGTTTAGGGGCTTAGGGGTTTAGGGGTCTAGGGTTTAGGGGTTTAGGGGTTTAGGGGTTTAGGGTTTAGGGGCTTAGGGTTTAGGGGTTTAGGTAAGGGTCCAAGTACCCCAATAGTGCGGCTTCAAGGTCCAACAACCATTCAGAGTATGATTCAGAGTATGGATTTTGGGACCTGGAACCCTACTATTTGGGTACTTGGACCCTCTGGGAAAGGGTTCCCAGACACTCCAATATCCCCGAATTCAGGCATATACCTTAACATAGAATCAGATCCCTAATATCATTGAAGGAATATTCCCGAATGAAGGGTATTGGCGTCTCTGGGTTTAGAGTATGGGGGGTTTAGGGTTTAGGATTTCGGGTTTCGGGGTTTCAGAGGGTTTCGGGTTGGGGGTTTGGGGATTACGTTTTGAGAGAATTTAGGGTTCGGGGTTTCAGAGGGTTTCGGGTTTAGGGTTTAGGGTTTAGGGTTTTGGGGTTTGGGGGTGCTGCTTTTTTGTTTTACGTCTGCGCGAGAGTCTGGGCACTAGGGCTTTGGATGTGGGGTGTAGGGTTTGGACATGTGTTCACTTCGTCTCGGGTCTTCCTTTGAGGATTCCATCAAGCGATCTATCCATACATATATATATATATATACACACATGCAAACTGTTCATGTTTCTTGGGCAACTGGGCCAGGCGAGCCTCATCTCGTTGGATTCTAACGGGGTTATGGTTGAGGGTTCTGAGAGAGTCCACAACCGGGATCCTGAATATGATTCGAGATGGTTTAAGGTGCATTCCCAGTTTTTGTGGTGGGAAGTATAAGTATAAGCACTGTTGGGCTTACCTGCTGAGGCTTACCATCCTCGGGTGTAGGTCTTTAGGGCTTAGCGTTTAAGGTTTAGGGGTTTGGGTTTAAAGGCCTAGGGCTGAGGCTATCCCTAAATCTGCAAAAACCCAAGACCCCAACGAAGCCCTGAACCCCTATCACCCTGATTTCCGACAACAAAGAAGAGGAACTAACAAACATGCAACACTAAGCAAATGTCTGTGCATTATGCGTGCACATATACATAAGTGTATGCATGTATATCCGTGCGTCTCGTTCTATGCAGAATTACAAACGCACATATGCATGCACACACACACACACACGTACTTTTGCATGCATGCATGCATGCATGCATGACCAACATACACACACATCCATACCTACCGACCTTCCTGTCTACATACAAACAAACATACATACATACAAACCCCAGAGCGTAACGCCAAAATCCAACTCCCAGAACATAATTTGAACCTACCCGTATTTGCACAATCCAAGCAGCCAGGGCGGAAAAAACGTAACCGGAATCTTGCTTGGATGAAGACTCGAATGAGCTGGTATGAGACTCCGCTGCAGACCCAGATTCAAACTCGTCTACTTGGTGGGGCAGGGGACTTAGTAAGTCGTGTATAAGTAGGGTTATCATTGGGGTAACTCCATGTAGGGCACTTATATCTCTGCTTATAACCTACTTACTAAGTCCCCTGCCCATATAAGCCACAGAAATTGGAGATGAAACTTTCCGATTCCTAATAAACTACAAGAATCCAAAAAGTTTAAAGGTTGGGTATTGGGCATCTAAGCTAGTACAGGCGGTTGGCTTTAAAGCTGCTGGGGTCTCGGGGGACTCTTAGTGCACAGACTGGGCCTCACGTCCTTGGGCAGGGGGCCGGAGGTGCGAGGGGGGGGGTCTAAATGCTTAACATGAAGTGAACATTACGCATGCATTTTTGTGCATGTGTGCTGCATTCAAACTCATCAACTCTCAGAGCATGTAGCGCACCTGGCTCACAACTTGCGCCACGCCAACGGTACCCTCGTGGTGCGCAGCCATGTAGCCTGGGATTAGTTAGGGCTTACAGTGTAGGGGTCAGGGGATTTAGGCTTACGGGCTGGTGCTGGAAAGCCCTGACCGGGAAAACCTTCAGGTTTTCCCCTCACACTGAAAAGTAAACCCTAAACCCTAAACCCTAACTTCAGCCCTGAAACCGGAAATCCCAAAAGCCCTAGCCCTCCAACTCTAAACTCTCAACTCTAAAACCTCTGAACGCTCCGACCTCAAAAGCCAAAGTCCTCCAAACCTAAAGCCCTGAAGCCCAAGACCCCGGACCCCTAAAGCCCTACTTGGAGGATCATGGGACGCAGTAAGTAAAGTTATAACTACCTTACCTGAAGCTATGAGTAGTTACATGTGTAGTTACCTTGTTTAAACCTATAACCTTAGTTTCTAATTAGGTCCCTTGATCCCCACCAAATGACACACCTAACAGTCCGAGAGCTCCCTATTCATCTCAACTCTGTCTCATCCAACCACTATGAATAAACCCTTGTAGACGCCAATCCTGCGAAGCGTTACAAAACAGAACATTATGAAACCCGCAGCAGAACCAGACTCACCTCCATACCAACACTCCCTAAACCCTAAACCCTAAACCCCTAAACCCCTAAACCCTAAATCCTAATCTCTTCGCTCCAAGGCACCCAGCTGCCGCTGCACGCAACACAGCAGCGCGCACACCTGTGCCAGCTCCTGGTAGGCGGCTTGGCTTTCGGGGGCTTTGGGGAATGAAAGGGGCCTTATAAAGGGGTCTATAAGGGGGTTACTACAAGGGATCGGTTTAGGGTTTAGGGTTTAGGGTTTAGGGTGGGGAGTGAAAGGGGCCTTATAAAGGGGTCTATAAGGGTAACTATAAGGGATCCATAAGGGTACTGTAATATAGGGGCCTTAATCATCCTATAGCTTACCTTTGGTTAGTAGTGGGCTATTGTTGGCTTTGAGGAACCTACTTTATACTGGGATGCCCAGTAACCTAGGAATAAAAAGGGCTCCCTTTTTTGGTATTGAGTAACTTTATAAGGAACCTAGGACTACAAAAAGGGAATAATGGTACTACTGGGCATCCTAGTACAATAAGGGTCGTACGAAGGTTGGGCTTTGCGCTGCAGGGTCCTAGGGGCCTAGTTGGGTTAAGCTTGGGGGTTTAGGACTGCCCATACGAAGGTTTCTACAAGGCGTGCAGAGTGTTGGGGTTCCACAATTCAGGCTTCTATGAAAGCTCTATGAGGGTTCTCCAGACAGCCGGGCTCAGGGTTGCCATGAGCGGTTTAGAGTCTCTAAAAGGGTTCCATAAGGACTTAATCTGGTTTAAAATTTGGAGTTTAGTTCGAGGCTTTCTGAAACAGGTACCGACTGTAAGGGTTCTACGCGGGCTAAGATGGTTAAGAGTTCTGCAAGAGGCTTAGAGTTTAGGGTTTAAGATTTAGGGTTTAGGGTGTAGAAACCCTGAACCCTAAACCCCCTACCTAAACTCTAAAACCCCGAAACCCCAAACCCCGAAACCCTGGGCTTAGGGTAGCTGAGGGAGTAGGGGTAACGTAGGAACCTGATTAAGATACCTTGGGCCTGTATTAGGCTTCCCCATATGTACGCTACTATTTGGGGGGTAGAGGCCCAGGGTTTCTTAATCAGGTTCCTACATTGCAGTTTGAGGATTTCTGCGGCTCACGTCGCCCTCATCCGTCCTCAACTTAAGAGCCCAGTAACCTAGGAATAAACAGGGCCCCCTTTCTGGTATTGGGTAACTTAAAAAGGAACCTAGGACTACAAAAAGGGAATAAGGGTACTACTGGGCATCCTAGTCCTCAACTTGGGAGCCCTAGGATCTCCCTGCGAACGTCTAGTATCGATTTCGTTGGTTGGGAGTTTAACGTTTTTTTCTTCGAGTTCCCTTTCTCCAGTCGCCTGAAAGGGCCCTGAGGAGCCAGGAGTTTAGGGTTTAAGTGTTTAGGGTTTTAGGGTTTAGGGTTTTAGGGTTTAGGGTTTAGGGTTTAGGGGTTTAGGGGTTTAGGGTTTAGGGTTTAGGGTTTAGGGGTTTAGGGGTTTAGGGTTCAGGGTTTAGGGTTTTAGGGTTTAGGGTTTAGGGTTTGGGGTTTAGGGCTTAGGGGGCTCGGGTTGAGGGTTTAGGGCCCAGGGCTTAGGGTTTATGCAGGCAGTCTTGGGACAATCCAGAAGCCAATCAGTTGCGAATCGACTACATAAGGTATGACGGCTCAAAGGATCTAAAGAGATAGGGTTTAGGGTTTAGGGCTTAGGGTTTAGGGATCTAGGGTTTAGGGTTTAGGGTGCTAGGGTTTTAGGGTTTAAGTAAGGTCTAAGCTGCCCCTAATCAATATTTAATGGAAACTGTAATCATCCAAAATGCACACAGATAGAAACGTGCTGGTACTGATGAGGCTATACGCTTCAAGAAAGGTCCCAACTCTGATGTCTCTGTCGGTGGCTTTGTCCAGAAGCACGACGAACCCGTGGGCCAGCGCATTAGCAACATGGGGAGACAAACCTCCTCATGGTGCACTTGGGATCTGGATCACCCGGTCGATTGATGAGTTGGCCTTGGGACAGCAAGATGGAGCGAGAGTTATTCTAATGCAAGGTGCAATGCACTTACAAGGATTCGTGGCCATCGCGTCCAGGGAGGGGTAGCTTCCTGTAGGTACACCGAGGAATCTGCGCTTCGGTCTTGTCCCCCAAATCCAAAGTCTCGAAGTAAAGGCGAGAATGGGTGCATCGAATACCCATAGTGAGGGGTCTGTGAATAAGTTTTGATTTACATTTCCGGAGTTTTCGGGTCTTCTGAATCTAAGGCGAACCACATCTGAAGATCTGTACTTAACATCACAACAAATTCTGTGCTAGAATAGACCCCTAAACCCTAAACCCTAAACCCTAAGACACCCAAACACCCGAAAGCCCAATCAAACCATGAGGCTCCTAAGGACCTAAACCCTGCAGCTCGAAAAGAACCCAACACGCCCACCAAAGCTCTTCAGCATAATATAAGGGCCTTAATAATTAGAATAGGGTTGTGGGGCCCATTATACTGGAGCTACTAGAGTTATACTAAGGAACCCCCAAAATAGTATTGGTAATTATTTCGGCCCCGATATTACACAAAACCTCTGAAAACGCTGAGCAATCCAGCAAGCTAGTCCTGACCATTGCTGACTGACTCGGCTTCGCCCCACCTCTCCGCAACCTTTCGGATTTTCTTAACGGATCATGGGCTTTAGGGGATGTATAAACTAAAGGCTGCACATATAGTACCATTGTGGCATTAGGTCCCCAAAGCCATGATATGGACGGTCTTTTGGGACCCAATTCCATATGGAGCTTCTGGGTAAGGGTTCTATAAACCAGTGGTTTAAGGTTACTTATCGGATCATGGGACTTAGAAACTAGGGTTACAAATAAGATACACTATATAGCTGTAACTACTTATAAGCCCATGTAAGGGACCTGCAACCTTACTTACTGTGTCGCATGATACTCCCCGTAAGGTTGCTGGCAGGCTTTTGGAGGATTGGTTTTTGATGTGAAGGGTTTCGATGCTGTCGGCTTAAAGTAACAAGCAGTTAGTAACACTACTAGGTGGGGCTGTTAAACCAATTGAAAACTAGTAGTAGATAAGATCCCTTTTAAGCCCAATAAGGGAATCCCCCATGGCGCCCGCCCAGCTCAGACCGGCCCAGCCCAGGCTGCCTGGCTCCCTGCTGCCTGCCCTTTGCTGGCTGGCTGCCAAAAAGTTTAAAAGTTTGCTTCTGCCTGTACGTGTACAGGTCGCTGTAGATAGCAAACTTCTTTCTTTTCTCATCAACCTTCGCTTGAAGGTTCCTCATATATCCGAGAATCTCCCGGACCTTTTCTTCCTCTTTCGCCACCGACTTCTTCACAAACTTCTTCATAATCTCTTGGTACTCGTCGTCGGTCGACCTTCAGCGCCTTGAGGGTTCGGCTAAGGGTGCTACACCCTAAACCCTCAACCCTAAAGCCTAAACCCTAAGGCCTCAACCCTAAACTCTCAACCCTAAACCCTAAACCCTAAATTCTAAATTCTAAACCCTAAGTCCTCAACCCTTAACCCTTAACCCTAAACCCTAAAACCCTGAGGGTTGAGGGCTCCCGGGGTGTTGGGCTGCCTGGCCCCCGCTCTCCCTCTTAGCCCAGTACCCCAGACCGCCAAAAGGATCCAAAAAGTAGATCCCTTAATGGGGGTTCCTTGAAGCTTTCCTTAAGGGGTCCCTTTGAGGGATCTATAGGGTTAGGGTTTGGGGTTTAGGGCTTAGGGGAGGGCTCCAAAAAGTAGATCCCTTAATTTGGGTTCCTATAACGTACCCGTAGTAGCATAGGGCCCCGGATCTACTTTCTAGATCCTGCCGGGGGTCTGGGGCTGAAACAAGGGTTCGGGTAAGGGGGCTTAGGGCTTCGGGGTTAGACTTCTTCGGGTCCAGGCAGGGTTCCAGAGACTCCAATATCCCTTAGTTAAGGAATAGACCTTAAAATATATTAGGAACCCTGATATGATTTAATGTATATTCCTTAACTAAGGGATATCGGAGTCTCGTGGGCCTACAGCCCTAAACCCTACAGCCTACTTAACGGTGTGGGGTTTCGGGGTTTGCTTCGGGAGGGGTTTCGCAGGAGCAACACCATCCACTAAACTAACATCCGAAACCCGAATCATCGAAACCCTAAACCCTGAAACACCAGCTTTGCGGAGTAACCCCTTTGCGACAAGCAGAACCACCGACACAAAAACTTGAAAACAACAGAAATACCCTAAGAGTTATTAACTTCAAGGATCAGGTTCTGGGTGTAGGGGTCTAGGATTTAGGAGTTTAGGGAGTGTAAAACATATCCGTAAGTAGCTCCTCATCAGCCTAGCCCCATCCCTCTACCTTGGATCATTCAACTTGGCTGACTTCTGAACCCCCCCCTAAAAGTTAAACTTTTAGCCTCCTTAACGTAGTTCATATAGAAACCCAAAAAAGTTAAAGTCTAAAGAGCGAACCAGAAGAACGCTAAGTCAAAGGGGGCCTACCAACTCAACTTCGAAAGCAGCAGGCGAGCCGGAAGTTTCCCAAAGCGCCAAACTCCCACACCCCAACCTCCAAACCGCGAAGCTGAAAACCCTATAAGCCCCTTTTAGAACCCCTAAACCCTAACTCCATTTTCGGAGCCCTAAACCCCTTTTAGGATCCCTGAGCCCTGAACCCTAAACCAGTTTTAGGAGTCCTAAGCCCTAAACCCTAAACCCCTTTTGGGAGCCCTACCCTACACCCTAAACCCCTTTTAGGAGCCCTAAACCCTGAACCGCTTTTGGGAGAGCCTGCGTCAAATCGAGCTTCGTGTCAGCCTGGAGTGGGTTTTGAGTTCAGCTCTGGATTTACGGGGTGAACTTACGAAAAGATCATGGGACTTGATCCCTTCAAGGGTTCTAAAGGGCTCCTTCAAGGGATCCGAAAGAGCTCTATACAGGGGGGGGGGGGGGGGGGGGTTGGGGGTTAGTTACTAAAGGATCATGGGACTTAACCCCTTAAAGGGTTCCAAAGGGCTCCTTCAAGGGATCCAAAAGAGCTCTATACAGGGGGGGTTTGGGGTTACTTAGAGGATCATGGTGGGACTTCGTAACCAGAGATATTACTAGCAAAACTATACTCATAACTACTTATGACCCCAATTCAGGTAGGAGGGTTCAGCTTCAGTGACGGCTTAGGGTACGAATGAGTCATCATGAGGCTAACTAGACTCATAAATGCATACAGCCGCAGTGAAGGCACTTCTGACCTTACCTTAACCCTGAAAAACCTACCCTCTTCAGGGTTCCATATTAATATGATTTCCTTATATAAGTCTTTGAAAATGTAGGTTATTCCGGGTTAAGGTAGTCATTGTTCAACAGCTTCCTCCTTCGGTGGCTTCCCTCCACGTTCTCTCGTCCGCAGAGGTTCCCAGTGGCTCCTATGCCTGCAGCGCGCGTCCCGGGCCTTCCGCTTTGAGCTCTGCTTTGGGCTTCTTCAGACTACCGTAGCCCCAAAGGTCCAGGAACTTCGCACACTCTCTCACCCTATAGCCTAAACCCTAAGACCACCATATTAAATATCATGTGAAGATCTTTTCGCGCCAAGACCTCGCGACATACGAGTCCTCAGAGCCTTCACAAAACCCCATCTCCGCACCCCAAATCCTCCAACCCTAACTCTAAAACCCAAGCCCAAAAACCTAAAACCTGAACCCGAAACCCTAAACCCTTTGCACTGTATAGCCCGAAAAACGATGGCTGAAAGAAGCCTTCATTGACCCACATGCCCTGATCTTCAAACTGCTTCTTGGGTAGTTGTCAAAACTATGGCCCCTGTTTGGGTACCCCAAATATTAGGTGCCGTATTACATTAGGGACCCAAAAAGAACCATATTCTTGACGACCATTCTCTTTATGGTCGAAGAGATTTCAGGGTTTAGGGATTAGGGTTTGGGGCTTTCAGGGTTTAGGGTCTGGGGTTGGGGGGTTTGGTGTTTAGGGTTTAAAGGTTAGTTAGCCTTACTCACACATCTAAGTTAAACCCTAAACCCTAAATCCGAAACCGTATCATCTAAGGCTCATTCGGGCCCTAAGCTCTCAATCAAGGCTAGACCCTCGACCCTACTCGCAGGATGGTGGGGCTTAGTATGTTTGGTTGGAACGGTTGATGATATAAATCCTGCATTACCTTAAGGACCCTAGACTATGGAAATTTCGGTACATTCCTTATTATGGGTAATGCAGGATTTATATCATCAACCGAAGTAGTCTAATCCTGGTTTAAGTAACCTAGGATACCCAGTAACCTAAGAATAAAAAGGCCTCTGTTTTTTGTATTGGGTAACTTTATAAGGAACCTAGGACTACAAAAAGGGAATAAGGGTACTACTGGAGATCCTAGTAACTGTAGGTATCCCGGTGGGTCCCATTACCCAGATAGAAGAGGTCCGCAAAGAGTGACTTGTCCACCTTGAAACCCTGCCATTTGGGTACTTGGACCCTTCGGGTAAAGTTGCACAAATAAAAACCTTGGCTACTACGTCACATGATCGTCTAAGCAAGTCCGCTTTCACCAAAAACTGCTTAGGATTAAGGGTTCAAAGGTTTAAGGAGTGGTTGAGGGTTCAGCGTTTAGGGTTTCAGGGTTCGGGGCTTGAGGTTTTAAGGTCTTGTGTGTCAGAGTCTAAGGTTTAGGGTTCAAGGGTTCAGGGTTTAGGGTTGCTACAGAAGCCGGCGTTGGAGCTTTCCCCCCAATGCCTAATTAGCCCAAGCTGACCAGGTCATACGCCCAAAACCGCCTATAAGCTTTCGAAAACGTGTCGTCATACTCGCTTCCTAAACCCTCAGCCCTAAGCCCTTAACCCTCAACCACAGTCAAAGCTTACATACTCAGCCAAAGAGATACGAAGCTCAAGAAACCACAGCCTCCCTCAACCCTAAACCATAAATTTCAAAATTCCCCAAGCCTGACTCTAAACCCTCAACCCTTAAAAACCTCAACCCGCCCTAAACCCTATTCAACCCAAACTTAACCTGAACTAATGAAACCCTAACTATACTGCAAACCCCAAAACTCCAAATCCATAATTTCGCCAAAAAGACATGGAACTAAACCTTAACCAACAAAAGAAAGAACCCACGCCTCTGCAGCCCGCAGCCGCAGCCGAACACTTCGGCGTGCACGGCTTCTGGGCGCCAAGCGCGCCGTCGCCAAGGGCAGCAGCCTCGGTTTCAGTTCGGGTTGGGGATTTTTGGGATATGGGATTCGGGATTAATTATGCAGGCTAGGGCCACCTTGGCACTCAGTGTCACTTTTGCTGCATGATCAGCGGTTGAACACATCACACTGCCCATGTTCATTCCTTCCAAAACAAACGATCCGACCATCCCCCCGCACTGCACAAGTGTGACCACCGCCAGCTGCGACTGCCAAAACTGGTCCCAAATCTGCTGGCACATCACACTTCCCATATTCGTTCCATCCAAAACAGATGAGCCGACCATCTGTCCGCAGTGCACAGGTGTGACCACCGCCAGCTGCGACTGCCAAAACTGGTCCCAAATCTGCTGGCGCATCACACTCCCCAAAAGGATTGCATCCAAAACAGACGAGCCGACCATCTGTCCGCACTGCACAAGTGTGACCAGCGCCAGCTGCGACTGCCAAAACTGGTCCCAAATCTGCTGGCACATCACACTGCCCATATTCGTTCCATCCAAAACAGATGAGCCGACCATCTGTCCGCACTGCACAAGTGTGACGAGCGCCAGCTGCGACTGCCAAAACTGGTCCCAAATCTGCTGGCACATCACACTGCCCATCTTCGTTCCATCCAAAACAGACGAGCCGACCATCTGTCCGCACTGCACAAGTAGTGTGACCATTGCCAGCTGCGACTGCCGAAACTGGTCCCAAATCTGCTGGCACATCACACTGCCCATATTCGTTCCATCCAAAACAGATGAGCCGACCATCTGTCCGCACTGCACAAGTGTGACGAGCGCCAGCTGCGACTGCCAAAACTGGTCCCAAATCTGCTGGCACATCACACTGCCCATCTTCGTTCCATCCAAAACAGACGAGCCGACCATCTGTCCGCACTGCACAAGTAGTGTGACCATTGCCAGCTGCGACTGCCGAAACTGGTCCCAAATCTGCTGGCACATCACACTGCCCATATTCGTTCCATCCAAAACAGACGATCCGACCATCTGTCCGCATTGCAGAGGTGTGACCACCGCCAGCTGCGACTGCCGAACCGTCTCTAAAGCCTGCCGGCCGGTGACACTGGCCATGTCCGGTGCCCTTCCTCGTGACACAACTGCGAGAATGGTAGCTGGAAGCTTGAAACTTCCAGTGATTTCTGAACAAGCATCCAGCACGTCGGAGCTGAGGCAGAGCGAAACGCGACTGACACAGCACGGGAACATGCGCGTAGCCAGCGCAGACTGGCAGAACAAACCGCCTTGCCGTCATGGATGTCCAGAAGAATGTGGTAAGTACCAGAACAGCTTTCATAACGATTGATAGATGCATGCCGGAAGAAATGGGACGCACTTCATGCGGAAAGACGACCATGCGAACAAGTAGTTGATGCTATTCTTATTACTATTATGAGTAATACTTCTAGTACTACCATATATTGCCATTATTATTGTTACTTATTGCTGTGATTGCTATTCTTATTATTCTTCTTCTTAGTCTTCTTCTTCTTAGTTTTACCTTTGAGGGTTTAGGGATTTGGGGTTTAGGGTTTGGGTTTTTTCATTTTATTTGTATTTTAATTCGCCTCGGCCCCGGCCGAAGCGGTCAGAGGTTCCTATTCGGATTTCCTCTATTCCCCACCTCTTAATCCCCTCCCCAGTCACCCCACCCCCAAAATGGTGGCCCCCGCCCCCCCCCCCCCCCCCCCCTAAAAAATGGAAATGTCCAAGGTCCGGCGGTGAATTTTCGCCTTCTCCTGGATTTTGGCTTTCTGTAGTCAGTCCCACCCAATTTCCCCCTCACCCCTCCCCCCCCCCCCCCCCTCCCCCCTCCCCCCCCCTCCCCCCTTCCCTCCCCGCCCCTCCTCCGCTCGCTGACAGGTGCGAGCTTTCTGGAGTTTTCGACGACACGGGACTGCAATGTAGCATCTTTATGTGTTGGGGCTCGCCTTTAAGGCTGCAGTACCAAGCGAGCTTCAAACCTGAATTCCTACAAGAGCTTGCTGCAGATAGTAGCCACTCGCCGCATGCGCGTACAGCCGGGCCGAGGCGGACGACGCGCAGCGTTTCAAATTACAGTTATAGCTATCGTTGTAAGAAATTAAAATATTAGGTAGTAGTAGTAGTAGTAGTAGTAGTAGTAGTAGTAGTAGTAGTAGTAGTAGTAGTAGTAGTAGTGGTGGTAGTAGTGGTGGTAGTAGCAGTAGTACTAGTAGCAGCAGGAGCAGTAGTAGTAGTAGTAGTAGTAGTAGTAGTAGTAGTAGTAGTAGTAGTAGTAGTAGTAGTAGTAGTAGTAGTAGTAGTAGTAGTAGTAGTAGTAGTAGTAGTAGTAGTAGTAGTAGTAGTACTAGTAGTCGTAGTAGTAGTAGTCGTCGTCGTAGTAGTAGTACAATTATTATTACAATTACTAGTATCACTATTACTATAATTGCTGTGAGAGAAGGCAAGGCAATTCAAAGACCCTTGGAGACTAACCAAAAGTCACAACCGGCACCAGGAAAAACGTGAAGCCGAAAACCACTAGTAAATTACCGCAGCAAAACTAATACCAGCACTTCTAATAATAACATAATACGAGTAACAATAATACTAACAATAATCACCACTAGTGCGATTCGTAGGTATTACTCTTTGGCCTCATTGCTGTGGCAACCGTATTCCTAAACCTTATTCCTATTATGGATATTTTTATTACAGAACACCATTTCCATTTTCAATCGTTAGGGATTTCGGGCTGGAATATGGGTTTTTCTATGGGGGTGTTGGTCTGTGGGGTTGAGGTTGGGGCTTTCTATGTGCGTCTTCCTATGGGTCTTCTGGTGGTTCCATCATGTGGGTCTTTCCTATGGGTCTTTCGGCGGGGTTGAAGTATAAGTTGTTCTGGTTTTTAGTCTTCAGGTGGGTCTTGAGTTTCGTGTTGAGGTGTTGGTTGTTATGGCTTTGGGTCTTCGGGTGGCCTAGGGGGGTGGGCATGGCTAGAAAATGGAAATGGTAGTTGCTAACTGTATAAGGGCCTTAACATTTAGAATAGGCGTCTTTCTAAGGGTTGCTTAAAAGGGGGCCTATACGGGATCCATGACGATAGGATTCTATCATGTAGGGGCCTTAATTACATGAAAAATCAGAGTAGGGTTTTGCGGCCCATTATACTATGGTTATAATAAGGAACCGCAAGAATAGTATTACTAATGATTTAGGCCCCTATGTTACCGCCTCAGCCCTGAACCCCCAGACGTCTTCAGAATCTCCAAAGCTCCCAGGTAGAACATCAAGGCATCTTCAGAGTTTCGAGCAATTTTAGCGCTTAGGGTTTAGGATGCATCTCTTGGGTGCTGGCCACCCCCTTTCCCCAAGGAACAACCAGGGTCGAGGGGCTTAGCAAATCGGAGCTTCAGAAACACCTAAACCCTAAACCCTAAACGATAAGCCATGCCGAACCCTGGCAGGAGAACACGCGAGAGAGTCATGCTCGGCTTAGGGTTTAGGGTGTAAGCCCTAAACCCTGAGCGTTGCTCTAGCCCTAATCATCGCTCACTCTAAAGCCCTGACCTGACGACCCGGTTTAGGGTGCTGGGGTTTAAGGTTTAGGGATCCCGAGAAGCCTTTGCTGTGCCTCGAGACGCCAGTTTCCCCTGAGGGGACAACACCGGCCGCTACTCTTGCAGTCAAGTGTCGTTAGGAGCTGCCGGGAGTTGAAATGCCTGAGCTGCAATCTTACTCCGACCCACCTTCTAGGATACCCAGTAACCTAAGAATAAAAAGGCCTCTCTTTTTGGTATTGGGTAACTTTATAAGGAACCTAGGACTACAAAAAGGGAATCAGGGTACTACTGGAGATCCTAGTATTGGCAGGATGTAGGGCTTCATATATTATGACCACAAGCAAGTAACTAGGGTCGCGGGCTGCCAGGGCAAGCCCTGGAAGGACAAGGATTGCGGGAGGGAGGGCACTTTAATGGAACCTTGGTCACAGTAAACACAACAAACAGAAGCCTAGAGCCACCTCCGCTAACTTCTTTTGTAGCTTGCTTACAATCAGGAACCTTGAGGAAGAATATAGGTAGTTACTCAGTCCCAAAGATTAAGTATGATGTTTTGGAGGGTCTTACGAGCTGGAGAAACCGAAACATGTCCAAAATCCGAACCTGGTGGGCTGTGGCGGACATACAGAACACAGAGGGCCGCGATGTACACAGTTTAGGGCTTGTAATAGTGGTTAAAGGGTCGAGGGCTGATAGGGTTCATAGGGTTTTTGATCCAAAGATTTGCCCGCTGTTTCCTCCGAGCCCAGTAAGGACTGCACTGTTGCCATTGCTGATGGGTCCGAGACTCCCAGTTCGTCACAGCGATCGGTGCAAAAAACGTCAAGATCTGCGGCCGTATTTTATATCGAAGATACAGCTGCCACTCCAGGTTCGCCAGGTGACGGATCTCATGGAGAAGGCGGAAAACCAATACAATGTACATCGAACTTCACACTTAACACCTGCCTCTTCATCACACTCTTTACGGCGCTTCTCGTGAGGCATTTCTTGACTCAGCGACCACCTGATAGTCCAGACAATTGAAGGTGAATGAAGCTCCAGTCGAAAGTGTGCCTTTCACACAGGGTTAAGCTTTCCCAAAGAGTCTGCCCCCCATCCCCTCAAAAAAGGCCGCCACCCTCCACCGCCAGGCGGCCCACCCAGAATTCTTTTGCTATTCGTGGCGAGATTGGGGGCGGCGGGTTGAGGATCGGGCGAGTAGGATATGTGCCCAGCACCGTAGGGCTGAAAGGGTTGACTCTCTAGGCTTCAGTTCCGCTTGTCTATTCTAGCGTGGAAGGTTCAGGGTCCAGGGTGCGTTAAGGGTGTAGATGCAGGGTTCAGAGGCAGACGGCCGAAAGAAGGGCAGTGATGTAAAACCTGGCTGCTACGAAACTTCCTGCCTCCAGCCCACAAGCTAGAAACCCTAAACCCCCTCCAAACGCCTCAGCAATGAATCGTCAAAACTTCGGGGCTTGAGGTTCAGGTAAAGTACGGGTTTAGGCTTATGAAGGACTCTCAGGGCCTTAGTAATTAGAATAAAGCTTTGCGCGCCTTATGCTGTATTTATAATAAGCAGCCCCACAAAATATTATAGGAAATTATTCAAGCCCCTTTCTTAAGGCACAACCCTAAACCCGAAGCCCCTAGACCCTAAACCCTGAGCCCCTAAACCCTAAACCGTCAATCCTAAACCCCAAACCTATAAACCCTAAAGAGCCCTGTAAAGGACCGCAAGTCGAAGTCCGGAGTTTGGGATAAACCACAGCTCTCAAATGCTGCAAAGCTACCGGCTCTTCTTGGCCCCCAAAGGCAAGGCCGGCTCCTTCATGGCTCCAAGGTTCTCCATAAGGGTTTAGGGTTCACTGCTCAGGGTTCAGGCTTTGGAGTTTAGGTTTTAGGGTTTAGGGTTCGGGTTTTAGGGTTTAGCGGCTATACGAACTACATACATCAGACCCAATTTAGATGCTTGTAATCTTAGCGAGTGATCCTCCAAGGATTTGGTTTAGGTAGGCGAGTTTCAAAGGCCGAAGCACCCATGAACGGAAAACTCCTTATGTCCCAGCCCTAATCCGGACGAGGTTCGACGTTTTGTTGGGCCCCTGTCTAAATGTCTAGCTCTAAGTTGATTCGCATGGCCGTGCTGCAATCGCTCTTGGATGTGAGAACTTGCGAAAACAGGGGACGATAAGGATCTCCATTGAACGGAAATTACCTCAGGGACCCTGGGATTGAGAGACTCCCAGAAAACCTGAACCCCTAGTCGAAGAAACTCCCATCAACCCCAACCCTAGAAAAACCCTGTGATTGCACAAGAATACGATTTAGGGTTTAGGTCGAAGGTTTAGGGTTTAGGGGTAGGTGTGGTATTGAGGTGCACCTCGAGGCTACGGCACGTGTAGCTTTTGAAGGTTGAGCGCGCGGGGAATTGGCCTCCTCTAAACCCTCAACCCTACAAGTACCCATGCCAGGAAATGAAATACTCCAGCACCCGCCAACTACCCTTGAATAGAGCCCTTATGGCCCTTACCAATGGGTAATTAGGGTACAATAAAGGGTAGTTGGTGGGTGAACTATACCCGAAACCCTATAAACCCTAAAACCTTTACCCCCTTTGAAAGCAGACCGGCGAGGAAACGACTTCAAACTGAATTGAGACCTCAGCTCGGAACCTAAAAAACCCTAAACCAAAATAATGTAAACACAAAGCTCCGCCCGTCTAGCAGCGTCTTGCTGAAAGGATGAGGTAGTATTAGTAGTATTCGTATTCGGGATTTCGTGACTATTTTTGGGAGGTCTTGGGTCTAGGGTGGAGCGTTTAGGGTGTAGAGTTGCGCGCTACGAGCTTAGGGGGGCTCCTTGGGAGCATTGATGCGTGCAGTCTTATTTTGAGGGTGCGGAGTACTAGCAATGACAATCCTACTTACGACTCCTTATAATGGCTTCACAGCTCTTCTTGTCTCTGCAAAAGTTTGGATTAGGGGAACCTTTGGGGATAATTATAGACCCTCTGAGTATAAGGCCCATGAGTCAGAAGTAAGGTTAAGAAGGGTTGGAGCTTCCAGCAGGCCATACTTAAAGGCTCATGGGACTTAGTAAGTAAGGTTATAAGTAGGTTATAATTAGGATAACCCCACTTAGGGGACTTATAACCCCAATTATAACCTACTTACTAAGTCCCATGATCCTTTAAGTACCCCCTTATGGCTCGGATCTTGGATGCTTCCGTTTCCTTGAAGATCAAGATCTCACGTGACAGCTCACCTCCTGACACCTTCTAGGATACCCAGTAACCTAAGAACAAAAAGGCCTCTCTTTTTGGTATTGGGTAACTTTATAAGGAACCTAGGACTAGAAAAAAGGAATAAGGGTACTACTGGGGATCCTAGCCTTAGTCAAATCTGCGAGGAGCTTGGTGTCGAGAGTCAGAAACTTTCCTGGATCACGCAGACTTCATGGTGTGCATCCTTGTCATGCTTCCATGACCCACTTGACAGCTTCGTCTGGCGAGTCCGAGGCTCCTGTTACTGCTTCTCTCGTTGCTGTCTTCCAAGACCGGTACGATTCGGTGTTCGGAAATTTTGGGAGATTACTTGCTTCGGCCTATCTGGCCTTGGGCTTACCTGAATCTTCCCTTGAGTCATTCTTCTGGTTCTTCAAACTGTCGAGGATCGCCATCTGGGTTTCTAAGACACCAGTGTTGAGGACTTCAGCTATTGGCGCACCGCCACACCCGAAACACCTGAACGTTAAATGTTTTTGAGTAGTTCTTCAGGGTTTAGTTAGGGTTTAAGGTTTAAGGTTTAGAGTTTACTTCTTCCTTGGAAATGTCCAAAGAGGGTAGCTTGTCCAGGCGCAAAATCGGAGCCCTGTGGTTCTTGGCGACCGACATTGCGGACTTGGCAGCCTCGACGGAGCCGTTGCGAAACCAATCGGCCGCTAAGTTCCAAACCCTAAACCTGAAGCCCTTCAACCCGAACCCCGAAATCCTGAACCCTGAAACCCTAAACCCCAAACCCTAAACCCGAAATCCTAAACCCTGAAACCCCAAACCCCTGAACCCTACGCCATGGAGCCTCTAACCCTTAAACTCCAAACCCTGAACCTGAACCCCTAAACTCCGACCCTTAACGAACCCCTAGCTGTCCTGGGGCCCCCCTGGAGTCAGAGCTGGGCGTCGCGTGCTGCTCTGCGGTCTTCGGACCACCTGCTGGGGTTTGGTGGTTTTCGTGTTTTTTGTTTAAGGCCCTTTTTGGGGTTCAGGGTCTAGGGGCCCAGGGTTTAGGGTCTGCGGTCTAGGGTCTAGGGTTTAGGGTCTAGGGTTTAGGGTCTACGGTCTTGGGTTTAGGGTTTAGGGTCTTGGGTTTAGGGCTTAAGGTCTAGGGTTTTCTAAATTAGGGTTTAGGGTTTAGGGATTTAATAAGGATTTTAGGATCAGGGTTTAGAGTTCAGTCTTCAGACGGCCTGCTTGCTTTAATTAGGTGGTGTCCAGGCTGTACCTGACTTTCCAATATCCCTTAATTCATTAAGGAATATACCCTGAATGTACAGTAGGGTCCTCATACGATTTAAGATATAACCCTTGAATAAGGGATTTTGGAAGGTCTGGGTTAGTGTTTAGAGTTCGCAGATTAGCAGTCCTACGAGAGATCCCTCTTTCTCTGACCTTCTTTCCGGCCGTGCTGGCTTGCATGTACTCGTCGAGGGCAACGATGTGGGTGAGGCTGGCTTTCTGCCAGTCATGCCAGTCCTCATGAACTACCCCCTTCTTGGAGGCCCTTTTGACTTAGTAAGTAGGGTTAGTAAGGTGGGCTATGGGGTTTCTAATAGGGTTTCTAGGGGATACTAAGTAGACTTACTAAGTCAAAAGGGCCTCCAAGTTGTGGACCGGAATGCAAAATCGTCATGCCACCTCCGAGGTCGAATGCGCAGTTGCAAACAAGGCCTTTGCCACAGACCTTACTTAAAGGCTCATGGGACTTAGTAAGTAGGTTATAATTGGGGGTTATAAGTCCCCTAAGTGGGGTTATCCTACTTATAACCTACTTATAACCTTACTTACTAAGTCCCATGATCCTTTAAGTAGGCTAGCTCCGCTGATCTTGACCTCAAAGTCTGCACTGGCGAGGGCAACGGACGAGAGCGAGGGCGAGGTTGTCCCAAGTGCATTGTGTCTGGCGCCATCCTGCCGCCGTTGCAAGGGCGGAAACGCCGCAGGCCCTGAACCCTGAACACAACCACTTAGCCTAGGAATGCACACCGAAGTCTACCAAGAATTCTAGTCTAGGTCTCTGTTGAAGCCTTTAATTAAAGCTTGTAACCTCAATCACGGTTGGGGATAAAGATCCTGCATTACCCATACTCCATGTACCTTTATAGTAGATACTTAAGCCTTAAAGGTGTCCCTAGAAAGGTACTTTAAGGCCTAATCATGTACTATATGGGCACATGGAGCCTTAGGGAATAAGGAGTATACCAGAATGCCCATACTTAGTTTAGGGTCCTCGAGTTAGTGTAGGATTTGTATTCTCAACCGTAGCATCTAGTATGATTTAGGGTACAGTGCTTAAACAAAGGCTTCAAGAGAGACCCAGAGCCGCCCCGGGCTTAGGGTTTAGGGTAGGGTTTAGCGTTTAGGGTTTACAGACCCTGCACCCTCGCCCTAAACCCAAAGCAAGGCTTTACAGCTCCGGAAGCCGCCTGCGGTGGCAGCCGTAGCCACTGACCGGTGGACGTCGCCTGAGACATCATGGCCTCGTCAAGGGCAAGTTGACGGGTGTCTTAATACAATCTGGTCGATGGTTCTGAAAAGCGCATGTAGAGGTCTGGAATTAGGTGGCTTGTAAACAAACCCGTAGCAAATCTGCTGCGAACATGTTTGCCGTCTTGTTGATTATAGATCACGATTATGGCAACCAAGACCTCACGTAAACCGGTAAAGAAACTGTTGTAGATCCCTACTATGGTAACTCAAATTGAATTACTAACCAGTGGTTCTGGGGTTCCCTTGGCTCTTTAGCTCCTTATTCAATAGGGATTATCATCATCCCTGGCTCCTCAGCTCCTCCAATATCAAAGGTTAGAATTAGGACCCGTGACCCGGGACTCCGAACAGTTCCGGCCCTGGGCCCTTCGTGGTCTGGATGTTTAGGGTTGAGGGTTTAGGGTTTAGGGGTTTCCTGGAGCTTCAACCATCGGTTCTGAATCATTAAACTAGGCTCCCCAGTGGCTCCTGAACAAAAGGGACACTCTTTTCTGAGGTTATTCGGTTTTGGAGTTGGGAAACCGCCAAATATAGAGGGGCAAAAAGGTGCTACTGATCGGTTTTGTGTAATGCGCACCCGGCTCAGCGACTAAAGGAAACCCCTGATTCCCTAAACACTAAAGCCCTAAACCCAAACACCAAAACCATAAAACTAAAACCCTAAACCCTAAACACCCTAAACACTAAAACCCTAAGCCCGAACCCCAAAAGAATTCAAACCAGTGGGGGGGCTGTATCGGACACCCCAAAAGGGATCTACGGCGGCTTAGGGTTTAGGGCTTAGGATTTAAGGTTTAGGGTTAAGGGTTTAGGATTTAAGGTTTAGGGCTTAGGGTTTAGCGTTCAGGGTTTACGGCCTTCAAACAGTTATGGCTTCTATACTGAACTTAGAACCCTAGCAAAAATTTGATTTTAGCTGTTTCTTAGGGATTATAATAGCCAAAAATTAAAACATATTCCTAAGTACGCCTAAGGCTTCCTCTAACTGTCAGACATGAGGCTGATGGCGCAATCCTACACCCTAACCACTACTTGAAGGATCAAAGGACTTAGTAAGGGCTCCTTTAAGGGATCTATAGAGATCCTTGCAGAGGATCAAGGGACTTAGTAAGTAAGGTTGTTAGTACCTTGAATGGGGCTATTGGCAGTAAACATATAGTACAGCTCCCTTGTTCATAAGACTAGTTACTACGTCCCATGATCCTCTAACCCTATAGATCCCTCATGAACCCTTTCGAGAACTTTAAGGAGCCCTTCAGGGAACCCGTGAGGTTACTAAGTCCCATGATCCTTGAAGTATGACAGACGAGGGGCTGATGGTGCTATCCGACGGACATGGCGGACGCTGGCTGCGGCTTCACAGCTACGCAGCCGGGAGGCTCTGATAGGGACTTTGAATGCTTTCAGGCTCAGAATAAGAAATCAATCTTAGGGAATCTTAGGTGTCTTAGCAGCTAACTTTGGTTCGTGAATGATGGCTATGAAGGTTTCCTGATCTTAGGCTCCACTGTGCTGGACTTCTAGTCCAGAACATGGTTTTTACAGAAGTACGTGGCTCAACCCCTTCAGCCCCGGAACCCGAAGATGCTCCTGGTGTGCTTCGATGATCGGCCCCCCTCGAGACTCCCAGAGCTTTTGCGGACGTCCGCACTGTTCATGAGCCCAAAATGCACGCGATATGGGAGATTCCGGAAATTAGGGGTACCTTATTTTGGGGTCCTTATCATAAGGGTCCTACTGTTTGGGGTATTCTATCAGGGTCCCCTATACTCGGAAGCTCCGATAGAGGAGCCTGAATAAGTAGTATAATTATTCGCTTGGGTTCCTAGTTATGAGTATATATACTCCCTTCTACGCCCAAACCCTGTTCTAACTATTTGATCCAAGGGTAAAAGGAGGGACCCTTAATAAGGACCCCTAAGTATATACCCTATCTATTGTATACCCATCCTAAAGCCCATTATGGCGTAGGGGTCCCCATTAAGGGTCCCTCCTTTTGCCCTTTGATATGAGGCCCTTGGGGTAAGCACATGGAGACTCCTGACTGTTCCGTACAATATCAGGGGATCCTTGCTAAGATTTACTATAATTAACCGGTGGTTTTGGGGTTCCCTTGGCTCTTTAGCTCCTTATTCAATAGGGATTATCACCCTCCCTGGCTCCTTAGCTCCTCCAATATCAAAGGTTAGATAAAGCCGTCAGACCTGCAACACGGAAACTTCCTTTTGCCTGTCCGGATGATGCCAAGCTGCACACATTTACTTAGTCCCTGACCCGTTGACCGTGTGGGCCGGCAAGACAGCCCCTAAACCCTAAACCTCTAAACCCTAACCCCAAAGCCCGAACCCCTGAACCCCGAAACCCTAGACCCCTAAACCCTACGGCGACGCTGCCCCCTTCGCCTACGCTACAGCCCTCCCTGAACCCAGAGACTCCAAGGCTCAGTCATAGAGGGCTCCGTAGGGTTCCTTTATAGATTCTATATTAAGGTCTCCTTTACAGATTCTACTAAGGGCTCCTTTAAGGATTCTATAAAGGCCTCCTTTACAGATTCGAGTAAGGGCTCCTTTACAAATTCTATTCGGGGCTTTTTTAAAGGTTCTATTCGGGACTCCTTAGCTCCTTTAAACTAGATTCTATTCAAGGCTCCTTTTGGGGTCTAGAAGGGAACTATAAGAACATGGCTTACTATATATAGAAACCATAATAAGGAACCCGAAAAAGGTAGGTCTGTTTCCGGCTACAGGTAGGGGTCCTTAGTACTTAAAAGCTCCAAAACCCAGTAATGAAGTAGTATACCCTGAGCTCTACAAGCATCCTTGCTCGGATTTAAGGGATAAGCTCAGAGTCTCATACAAATATGGCTACAGCTGCGTTGAGCTGATTGCATTTCGCTATTCACGAAGTCTTGCTTCATATAGAGGTTTGGGAGGCTCCTTCAGCCGCAATATTATCCCGAAATCCAACAAACTCAACCCGAAAATGCTTCGCTTCGTGCTCTGTGGGGTGCAGGGTAGGGTGTAGGGTCGCTTCGTCGTGAAAGATCATGGGGGTTTGTGAGTGGGTCGTGAATAGGTGCCGGAGCTCGGGTCGCGTTAACCAGGGTCGGTAAAACTGCAAATCCTTGAAGTAAACCGCACACCTAAACCCTTGAACCCTAAAGCCCAAAGCCCGAAACATTCCCTAAGCTCTACACCCCAAAGCAGTTCAGTAAAGACAAAACCCCCTTAATTCAAACATTAACTCTAAACCCTAAACCCTACCCTAAAACCCTAAACCCTAAACCCTAAACCCTAAAACCCTAAACCCTAAAACCCTAAACCCTAAACACGCAAACCCTGAAGCACCACCAGTCTAAAGTCCCTGAGCCCGGAAACGAAACAGAGGCACGCCTGGGCACCCTTGTGCTTTTAAAAATAGTAGACAGAGCCCTATACCTTAGGAGCTGCCCCCACCCTGTAATAGTGACCATAAGGATTATATAGGATTATATTAGGGCCCTAATATATTCCTATTATACCACTATTACAGGGGGGGGGCAGCTTCTAACCTATACCTATATCCCTGAATAGGAATTATTTAAGAAGGTTTACTAGCCGGGCTGTTTATTCTTTTGGGGGAACCATGAAAAAGGACAAGGCTGCGCCTGGGGGCCAGACCGCTGCTGTCCGTAGGAGCGTTGGTCGACCTCCTCTGCAGCTGAAAATTCCACTAAGTGGGTAGTTGTCAAAATTATGATCCCTTTTTGGGTACCCTACATATTAGGTGCCGTATTATAATAAGGACCCCCAAAGGGACCCTAATTTTGACAAACACCCAAGTAGCGTTGAACATTTGAGGGACAAACGCTGCATCAGGTTTATAGGCCTTTCAAGTTAGGCTTTAAGGTTTTGGGGTCCAGATAATTGAAAAGTAGGGCTTCAAGTCTTGTCTTGGAAACCTAGACCTCATTTTGGAGGATGGCGGAAAGGATGCGGGAAAGGACCATCTGGGGGCTCGATTAGGCTGTTTGACGTAAGCTGGACATGGGTAGGCATCGGAGATCTCTGTGGCCACCGGGTCTTCAAAGTTGAATATGGGAGTTTCCGAACAGTAGGGGTACCTTATTTTGGGTTTCCTTATGATAAGGGTCCTACTATTTAGGGTACTCTTTTAAGGTTCCCCATTTTCGGAAACTCCCATATGATGGGATTCTAAGATGGAAAGCAAGTCGGTCTCTGAGCTCTGATAACTTACTAGCATCTTCATAAGGGCACCCCAAATCCACACTCACCATAGCTAAGCCACGCTGCATACACTCATGCAGCTGAACTCTACTTCTTTCGGTTTTGGATGTTGTTACCCAGAACCCTTCAATACAAATAGCAGTTTACATATACCTTAAACCCTGAAACCAGACCCCATGATCATACAGTACATACACCCCTAAATGGGTTGTGGATTCACAGAAGACGAGGCCCCATAACCCTGTAGGCAGCGTAATATCACCCCTTATATGTATTCCTTACAGGATTGACTCTTTTGCAGGACACACTGTCTGTAACCTTTGAGGAACCCGGAGCCCAAGCCGAAAAAACCTTGCGGCCCTACACCCTAAGGACCCTAAACCCCAAACCCTAAACACTAAACCCTAAACACTAAACCCTCAACACACTAAACCCTAAACCCTAAACCTGTAGGGGTTTGTCTCTGGGAAAAGGGATTGCTCGTTCGAGCTCCTCTGCCAAACGTTGTTGCAGCTCCTCGCTGGGTGTTTAGCTTAGTGCTTAGGGCTTTGGGTTTATAGGGCTTATAGGGCTTATAGGGCTTATAGGGCTTAGGGTTTAAGAATAAAGGTTTAGGGTTTAGGGACGGCTTCTTGGTCTGCTTCGAGGGCTTAAAGTCTTAGAGTTTAGAGTCTTTAATGGTCTTTGAAACAATGACGTTCGTATTCAGGAACCCTGTGAAAAGAAAAAGGTTGCTAATAAAGTGTCACTAAATGGTTGAA